CCGCTATTCGGGCCCAGCACCTGCCTACATATGTAATTGTTTATTCATATTAATCCTATGTAATGTAGCCCATTACAAAGATAGCCATTACTCTCAAGAATCCCCTTCATATTCTTGTTGTCACGAACCAGGTTCGATACCTGGTCGTGTAGAGATTAGATCGTCGCATGATATTGGACGATCTACTGACGAGCTGTCGTCAGCTCGTTACTTAGAGAATGAAGTCGCCGTTCATTCTACAATAGTGCGACAGCATTTTTTGCCCGAGACTTCTCATGTCAAACCCAAGCTGTCGCACAATGTCCTCTAAGCAGAGACGCTTATCCCGTTCGTGATCAACATCACAACGGAGCTCACGAGTTACACGGGCAAACCCGTCTAGCTCAGCAGCCACGTCCGATGAAAGAATCGGACAGGGTTTTTCCTCCACCACCGCATCCGCTGGTGAACTCCCATGGTGGGAAGCGCTTCCTCGTGGAACGCTTACTAAAGCACCGCGAGGTGAAGGGACGTCGGGCGAGTTATCTCGTCCGGTGGCGTGGCTATCCGCCTTTGGCGGATAGCTGGGAACCTCGGACCCAACTGATGGCTGACGTTCCCGGCCTTGTCGAACAGTAAGACAAGGGACACCCGATGGTGAAGGACCATCCAAAAACGAGCGCCCAGCGCGCTCGTAAAGGGATTGCAAAGTAGCAATCCTTTCACGCATCTCAGCAGAGATGCGAGCCCTCCACCAGGGCTCAGTAAGGAGGTACGCCTCCTTAGGCGCTCTTGACGAGGTGCTCAGGGACCACGGGCATGGGTCGCCCCAAGAGAGGCATAACAGGCCTGCCTCTCTAGATAACCGGTGCAAACGATAGCATGCACCGGACGTACTTCGTTTCTCAAACTTATTGCGGCTAGCATAAATTCTTTGAAACCAAGCCTCTTTCCCAACGTTTAAATCGTTGGTGATAAACGCGTTCCAAGATTGGAGGAACGCGTCAGCCTCACGCTTCTTGTGTGGGCCATACCATCGATGTTCAAGAAACACATCGATGTAATAGTAGATCTCAGTGCGAAAGTTCTTCGCACTGGCGTCAAGGCCATGAAGCTTTGACGCATCAAACAACGGTATGGGAAACCGTTCGTTGGTCTTTCCAGACCAACGATCAAGCAGATGCTTAGGTAGCATCCATGGCTTGCGATCAGGAGCAAGACGCAATACGTTGCGGTCTAAAGCCTCCTGCGTGGTGTCAACAGAAGTACCGACACTACGAGCATTGATGTCAGTAGAAGCACTGACATCACCCTTACGGTCCCCACTCGAGTCACTATCCTTCGACTCGTTTGGCGAGTCGTCTGATTCATCAGACGACCCGAACATTTCACGGTACATTGATTCACTCAATGTACCACGATCCCTCTTCGTAACATTCGACGACGAGGTATCACCCCGGGGAGAGCTCAGGAGTGACACAGGTGGCTTTGAGTCGGATGCGTCATCCGACTCACCAGAGTAGTCAACGACTAACTCTGGGTCAACATCTTCACGTGGCGAAGCGCTACGTGAGCCTGCAACGCCTGTTGCAGGTTCACTAATGTGTCTGCTGTCTGAGGCTGTGAAGCCTCAGTAGCGGCTGCACACAGGCGTGCAGCCGAGCTCTTAGCTGCCTTAGCAGCGACGCGCATTGACTTTGTCATAGCGAGAAAAATGTTGGAATAAAAGAAAATTCAACAAGTGCTCCTTTTCCATAGTCACTTAACAGTCACTAATGTGACTGTTGGTTGAGGGGGGGGGTGATGTAACGAGGTGAGCCCGTTACATAATATTGACACTTATATGAAGTTTCAATAAAAATGTTATAATAACCAGTAATATTTGACAATATTACCTTTTCTTATAATATTGTTCCTAGATCTCCTTGAAGTTGGAGATGCCCTCTCATTGGTTGATATGGGCCATCATATCAACCAACGCGCTGACCAATGACCGATGGACGCGCGCAATGAGTGGAGGGCAAGTTGTCAACATATATAGTTGTAGTTTAATATAGTTAACATAGGTTATAACAGATTAGTTTTATTAGATAGTTAACTATATTAAATACAGTTTCCTTTTTCTCTACTTCTAAGCGTATCGTTTAAAAGTAAAGCTTCCTCTACCTCTTGTGTAAGAGAGGTAATTGAGGCACCTGCTTTCACTGTAATCAGTGAAAGTAGACTATACTGTAATCAGTATAGTCGGAGGGTGCCCCATTACAATTTGTACGCCAAGTCGGGTTGCGGAGTGTGTGCGGGTGGTTCTGTGTGACCGGAGGACATCAAGATCGATGTCCTGGGACATTTTTGGCCTCTTGGCGCAGCACTTGGTGCGCAGGCACACCAGCTTCTTTAGTCTTCTCGACAGACTCAATTTTTTAGGCGCCGACAATTCGGATATTCAGAAAGATTGGTGAAGGGATTGTGGTTATGCTCTTCGCACTTCACTTCGAAGTCCATCATTCCGCTTAATTCCAACTGGTTTTCACTTCCAGTCGGTTACATGCGTCCCTTCTCGTTTATTATGTTCCGGAACAAGGACTGATTGTCACTTTCGAAATGAGCCACCAAGGTCACATCTTAGTTTCACACGCGGATGGGTGCGCGTTTTGTCTGCTTATTTGATTGTGTATGCGAAGCCTGTCTCCAGTCAATAATTCTTGACATGATCGATAAGGCGCCTCGATCCACCAAGATGCTAATGGTGTGGTGCGGTGTAGCGTGGTGTGTGAGGAACACCAATGTGACTCAACCTCGTGAATGTGATATCTATTGATGGATTCACATTCGACGTAGATGACGCCCAGTTGGGACTAAGCGTCATGATGACGTCACAGACGAACGTAATTAGCGATCTTAGATATACTTTAGCTCTTACGAAGTAAGACGCTTCTAAAAAGACGCGTATTCGATCTTTACATATAAACCATTCAGTTATAGGATTTATATTTGACGATTTTCTATATAAATCTGTAACGAGCTCAACGTTACACGTATCCGTTAAGTATGCGATACTTAACGGGCAGGGTTAAAAAGGTACGTAAGTACTTAAGACCTGCCGCTCGGGTGAGACACACCATGTGTCACACCCTTGCGTATGTGATATACACTAGGTGTATTCACATTGATGGGGATGACACATGGTGTGTGGGGATGACGCCCAGCTGGGACTAGGCGTCATCAAATGACGTCAGTCAGCTACGTCATTGAGCGAGCTAGAATATTTAAGCTCGCACGTTGGGATGCGCATCTATAGAGATGGCACCCATCATTACATATTAACCAATCAGTAGTTAGATTTATATTTAGTTAAGTTCTATTAAATATAAATCAGTCTTGAATTTGCTAAATCAAAAGCACCACGCACGAGAAGCCGAATAGCTTCTACGTGACGTCGGTGCCTTCTTGTCTTAGGAGTTCGTTGCACTCTCGCTTAAGCGAGAGGCAACTGGTGGTACGACTGCTTAAGCAGTCGACCAACCTCCTAACCACCCTCACACGCGAAGGTAAGACGGTCTAACCGCTTCCTCGCTTGTGCTGAAGGTGTGTGCTAGTAGCACGAGGCAACTTCGTAGAAGTGCCCGTCCACAAAATTAGTCTTGAATTTGCTAACTACCGCTCACTTCCTAACGAGATTCTGTACAAGCTTCGGCGTGGTGAAAGTGAAGCACTTGTTTAAAAGTTCATTGCGCGGTTCGCTTCGGCGACCAGCAACCGTTGGTACATCGATTTAACGCCGACCAACACTAACACCACCGCTGTTAAATACTTGCACGTGGTACAGCTAATTGATTAGATGGCGGCAAAAGCCGAAGAGGATATATTATGCATGTAAACTTTTATCTCTCTTTTCTGCAGTCTTACCTGTCCTTTGCGCGACTTTTGCGCCTTGCAACCCCTATAACTCCTCGACCTTGATCAGTTCCTCCTTCTGGCGTAACCACCGCGCCGTGATCTGTACAACGCAAGGCGTTACGAACCCTGATATGTCAGGGACATACAGGTGAACTCAGCGAGTATATTCTTATCTAATTTTACCGAGTCCCGAGGACTCGGCACAATTATCTTCTTTCGACAAATGCACGCGGAGATATACAGTAGCCGCTTCCTCGCACGTACTTGAAGGTGTGTGCTAGTAGCACGTGGCAACAGCTTGAAAGTGCTCGTTTACATGTGCTGTAGTGGCTGAGCAATGAAGGTCATTCTAACGCCGTTGAGACAAACGACATTGCATGAAAGCATGTGAGTTCTTGTCGAGTCGATGAAGCGCCCTCGCGATCATGTTCTCGGTCTGAGGATATATTTGATCAGTCAATTGGATTACATTCAGTCAAGAGCTTGTTACTCTATGAGAAAGGACGCATTGTACAACACGCTCACCTCGTGGTAGCAGTCTGCTGCAATCTCTTCGCTAGTGCTCTTACAGTTGCGTAACTTCTGCAATATTAATCTCGTCAAGCCTATCTTGAATCTTGGCCCAATCCCAATCTGACGCGGCTGTAGTGCGATACTGCCACTGGCTTGCAAAAATCATAGACACCGGTCACTAAGCCATCCAATGAAACCTTTTAAGGTAAGCAAGCATCACAAGTTTTTTGGCATTCGTACCATGCAACCATTATTTCTCAATCACGTGAATGCCAGGTGGAAACATACTTCAAGCATCCGGCTGCTTCTCCAGGCACAATAACTTACAATGCAGCCACAACCACATTGTCTTGTGGTTTATCTGCAGGACAGTTGTCAGACAAGGCTTGGATGAAATACCAAGACATGACTCTATCACAACAGGCAGCCTCTAGCGACCGTCAGGAGCACAAGGTAGACACGACCAAATTTCTTTGGCTCGTTCGCGTTAGTACGACCGATAGGTCGAACTGAGCGGTAACAACATGCGTGACCAAAGATTGAGAGACCAAATAAATATCGAATTAGGATATTCTACATGTTGCTTCAACTTCGACATGACATCGTGTCAATCACCCAAGATCTGCGTCACAGACTTCCGCTCCAAGAAGCTCCATGCAATCGACTGACGGGAAGTAGTGAAGGCGATCTCGAGAGAAATCAACGTGTCGTAGTTCTCCAGGTGACAAAGCCATAATATCGGCCTTGCATCCTTGAGGACTCTTTTGTATGTCGAAGACATTGGTGACACGCGGTTGAGGATCACGGGACACTCTAGCGTAAATTATCCCACTAGCCATCAGTTCTTCCAAGAGGAAGCGCATGTCCTGCAGACTAAAAATCTTGCGCATTTTCCTGTGAATAGCGTCATCTCGGATTCCAGGGCAGCACATGACGATGTTTACGACCTTGCGCTTCAATTTGAACGCTATCCTTATGTTGACGCTTCCATCCAAATGGAACCACGGACGTGCAACAACACTACTATCTTTATCGAACAGAAAGTGCACCTTCTCCGCTGTCGATTCGCTTGCAATCCGGTAGGGATGAAGCGTCCAGAGGTCTGAAAATTCCTGAAGTATAAAGCGGCTCTGATCATACCCATTCACCTCGAGCACTTTGCCTTCGTGTATCATGTTATCTATCTCGCGCTGGATCAATAGGGTTGCCGAAGTGTTGCATTTTGATTCTTTTGCAAGTCCAGATGCTGCATATTTTTCGCTCAATTCATCCAGTGTCGAGCCTATCTTTGCAGATTCAGTCAGCGTGATGGATAGCCATGATAGAATGGAATCCTCCGGCGTGTGTTTTCTTGATTTAGTATTCATACATTGGCTTACTTCTTGGTAGATTCGACCGTTGTCTGAAAAAGCTTGCATCGCCTTCATATTTTGCGCTTTCGTATTCACATCAGAATTCCCAAACACGGACTTCACCGTCCAATAGTCCCTCAGAAAATCCTCCGGGAATACCCCACCCCACTGCTGCGATAAATGACCTGCTAGACCCTTCACAGCCATCATCCGCTGAATCTCGCGTCTTTCTGGGCGCCTACTCGGTGCGACATATGCTGGGATAAGTTGTGAGAATCCAAGAACCATCGAAGACAATGCCACAGCAGCCTGCCCAGGTGACATGTCCGCTTCAATTTCGTGTTCAAAGCAGCGATCATTCTCTTCAGCAACCATCATAGCTTCGTCGACATTTTCGTTGACGAATGATAAAAATTTGGCAGCCTCGCAAAACGTTTCCATTAAGTAATGGGCAATCTTCAAGCTTTTCATCTCGAACACCTTGGAATGGACTTGAAAGCCTCGCTGTTTTTGATCTTTCCCTTCGTTTGCCTGAGGTGTCCGCGTGATGAGCCCAGCCAACCATAAATATCGCCATACCAATTTCACCTCACTTTCGTTCCAGCGATTCATGAGCATATCCGCCATAACAGAGTAATAACTGGATTGTTCATGTAAGACGACTTGCAATGCTCGGCAAAGTAATGCTGTTAATCGCGGTTGGCGCATGATTGCGACTTCCTCGTGAAATTCTCCACCAGGATTTTTCATTTGTGTAATAGTGACTTTAGCTCGCTCCAGCCTTGCATGAATAGCGGGTGCATCCAGTAAATCATTTATGCGTAACATACATTCAATTGGTTTCTTTTTGAAAGCTTTTCCAAGCTCCTTCCAAGATATCAAAGTACGGGACAGCTTTGTGGTCCGGAACGCAACCCGCTCTTCTTTCTTTTGCAGCGCTAAAGGTACTTCGATAAACCACCTGCATGACACTTGCTCAAGGTAGAGATCAATCAGCTGTAAGTCTTCTTCAAGAGTCCATGTATGGGTCCGACGCGTTTTCTTTGCGCCAATGTGCTTGCGGAACTTACTGACACCACTCTTATCGACTGGAGCCATCGAAGCCGAAAATGAGCCATTGCTGGGTTTGGCAATCTTGCATCGCTTTTGCAAAGACACTTCCGCAAAAGGCATCTCCGTCTGATAGCTCTTACGCTTCAACGCCTGGATAGGCCCCGCTGCTGCTTTGGCTCGAGCAGTGCTGTTTCTAGTGCTCGTCGTCGCGTGGGGTACCCACGCTTTCAAAACGTAGATGTTATAATCTGATAAAGGGGCCGACTGAATCAGGGCACCATCAAGCTTTATACTCACACTGTTGGGTTCGTGTGATTTAGTACCCAGTCGTGCCCCTTCGACGCTCAAAAAGCGTAGCGACTTCCAGTATGCTTTAACATCGTCCTTTTCGTTCAAGTCGAATTCGAGAGGAACACGTCCAGCGAAATGATCACTTTTGCTCTTGCAAGAAAAACCTGGTGCATAAGCGTATGAAAATTTGGATGGAAGCTTGTGCAACACGGTCTTTCCCTGCTTTACACTGATGTGAACATGGCGCTTGATCTTAAACAATCCTCCCGATAATGTCGCAAATGCCACCCTTGAAACAATTGAATCAAAGTCATCGGATGTTTGAAACACATTGAAGAGACCAGTTGAAGAAGTATCGCGCACTATCTGTAAGAGCCTTAGATCGAGCAGCACACGAACAATCTTCGAAAACCGATCTGCTTCACACCCTCGAAGCTTTTCAGCAATGGATTGAGGCAGCGTGTCCCACGAGCCACCCTTGGTGACGGCTACCCTAACGGCAGCCTCTTCTCGATCAGTAAGCAATTCCGCCACGCCAACAAGTTGGACATACTCTTTCACCGTCAAAATATCCAGAACATCCTTTAGCACGAATGGCACCTCCTGAGAACTGTCATGGTTCACACCGTGCCCAGCACAATGTGACCCGTCCAAAGGTGTAACCTTATACCTCTCCATATTATCTCCAGCCCCTAGCAATTTTATTCGATCCCAGAGCATGAGATGAAACGTCCGGCACTTGTACATCATGCCAAAAAACATTCCAAGCCTCCGACTTTGCTTTTGTAGTTTAACTAATCCAAGGCGTGCCAATTTGTAAGACACCGCGTTGTACGTTACAACCTCTTGGTCATGAGTATCCTGAGTCTGAACCTTCTTTACCATATTTCCACCACTATAGCCCTGCTTGCGGCGATTGGTTACTACGACGTAGTCATCATTGTCGTGGTCCACGAGATTAGCCTGATATTTTCTTTGGTGCTCCTCCTCATACGATTTGACAAACTCTCGTATTACTTCACGGCTGCGCTGGTACCCAATTAACACGGCACACTTCACTTTCCGATGCGCTTTGTGGAAAAGCTGCTTTGGCGGCAAGGCAATATCCATTGTAGTTATTTTTTTCTCTTCGACCAGTTCATCAACAATACGGCGTACTGATCGGATGTCCATGGTGCTAGATTCTGCTACTCGCTCCATCTCGATTAAACTAGTACGTAACTGATGCAGCGACACTACCTTTTCCATTTGTACCCGCTTCAAAATATACTTTCTTCGTCTGTCAATTGTTGATGCCCTTACCATCCCCCGTGTTGCCTCCTTCATCGTAGCTGGTTGAGGCTGACCGTTACCATCGTCATTATTGTTCACTATTTTAGGTGTACTATACTTGCCAACAGCGCGGGTTACTCGCACGCCCACATTAGAATCTGTCGACTTCGAGCTATTGTTAGCTGTAATATGTTGACTACTTGCATTTCCTTTCGTGGCGCCAGGAACAAACATTCGATACATTGTGCTCTTACCCAGAACAACTTGTTCCACGGAAATATTATAATTTGTAATCAATCCCTGGGCCAACTTGTATGGTAGCTTAAACGTTGGAACACCTAGCACATCTCGAAGTTCAGGTACCGTAGCGCCAATATCCTCTCGGTCTTCAATGGCCACATACATTTGCTCCATGATTCCACGTTCGACAACAAGGCGGGCTACAGTCTTTGTATCAGGACAAAGTTCCTCGAAAGTCCCTGATGAGCCCCGTTGCCGACTAGACTCACGAGATGAACCAGATAAACTTTTACGTAAACGAACGCACCACAATTTTCGCCCAATGTACTCGCTGCCTGTTTTGCACCGCGCCATAAACAACTGTAGAGGAAAGTTCGGGTTCGTGTTCATCTGCTGGATAAAATAATTCCGTAATTGCTCCTGCTGTCGCTTTCCGTAGCCCAACTCGCGTCCCATGTCTGCAAATACACAAGTCTGTTCTTCTCGTGCTTTCATCATGCTCACGATGACGTGTGCCAAAACCTTTTTCGGGAACGTTTGTCCCGCTATTGTAGCGGATGGCGATATCATGGATGGGTGAAATTTGCTGGCAAATCGCCGCAAGTGAACGATATTAAATCGTCGTTGATCAGCTGTCACGATATTTTTTACGACGTAGTTCGAAACAATCAACATATCTAGCAGGTAGTGCAGCTTGCGTGAGTCTCCAAACAATCTCGAATTTGTCAATTCTGCAGCATTTTCTCCACGTACTCTTGCACGACCAATAATCTCCAACAAATCAAATTGTGGAGATATCGTATCCATAGTGCTTGCGTCTTGCACTCCGAGATACTTTAGCCGTAAATCCTCGCATGCTACGACACCTAAAAGCACGCCATTTTGGTTACTTGTCACAGCCTCTTCATAACTTAGTCCACCAATGTCCACCTCCTCTCCGAGGCGGAAACCTCGTGGACTTCGTAAGACCCACCGAGTTTCATCTGCTGCATCTTTCATATCCTCTTCACTATCAACCTTTAGGCTTTCCTTCACTTGTACCTGTTTTTCACCCTGTTTCTCCAAGAAATCATCATCTTTCACCATTACTTTCTTCGTCTCGGTATCTTCATCTTCCTCTACTGTCACCATTTTTCCGTCTCCATCCCCCCTACTGCTCTGTCGCCGTGTCCGTAGTCGACTACCATTATGTGCTTTATCTCGACCGTCACTATCAGCATCGGACAACCGTCGACGCTGTTTTTGGGCAGCAATTCGTCTCATGGATGGTAGTACAGGCTGCAATGGCTGGTTCTTGTGTTTCTGTCGTTTTGGCATCCTATCCGTGTCCTCATCCAGTCGAGTCTTTATCCTTGACGACTCACAGTTGTGACTATAAAGTAACGTCGTCTTCCACTTGCGTTTTCGACGTGGAAGTGCACCGTGATTCGTCATTGTACCAAAGACCGGTTTCTTCTCCATTGCACTGCTCGTATCATCAACCGAGTTCTCCACTGGCCACATGATGTGAAAATGAAGCTGATTCTCCATACTACGAAGCACGTGCCAAGCATAACGACGGTATTCCACGTCATTGTCTGGGTCCATAACGTCCAAAAGCTCGCGCAAAGGCATTCCACAGCGACCTTCAAGCCCAATTTCCTCCAAACAACGCGCAATAAACTCTGGCATCGAACACTTTACGGACATTCCTTGGACGTACAATAGATAGAACGATAAAGTAAACTAGAGTTTCTCGTCTCGTCTTGTAGGAATGCGCAACAGACTGCCGCTCTTCCAATACACGTAATGGTGCGATCGGTATTGACCGTATATGTCGGTAGTTTGTCGGTATTTTTACCTTTTGTCGACAGGTTAAAACGGTAGCTTCAGTACCGGTACTACCGGTGCAGGTAAATATTACTTACTCTATGGATAGTTTACGATAAATACTATTGTTTTAACCATTTCATTTTAGCGATAAAACTACCATTTCATCACCTTTATATCGTGCCAGAATGGAGACGTTAGAAGCAGCGTGTGTAGCGCTACATGCCCCACCCACGGGTCCTGAAGCTGAACGTCGTCGTATTGAAGCCGAAGGTGTCTTGAATCAGTTTAAACGTAGCTCGAATGCAGTCATTGACTCCATGACACTGCTTCGTTCGAGTCACACGTCGTCCATTGTACAATTCCATTGTGTTGCAACCATTTGTGAAGTGACACTGCAACGTTGGCCGCTTTTAGGACATTCCGATCGATCTCAGACACTGGATATTCTTATGCAATTACTATTGGAACAAGGTTCAGTATTGCCGCGGTTCGTGGCGGCTTCAATACTGCAAACAACGGTATTACTCGTCAAAAGAGGTTGGATTGATCGACTGGAATCAGAACGTACAACTGTAGTACAGACAATGGGTGCAATGGTACAGCCTCATCATGTCATTACGCATCGTCTATTGGCTGTAAAATGGCTACTTGCCTTTGTGACGGAGTTTTCATCCGCGTCGAGAGCTAGTAATATGATGCAACCTATTGAATTTCATACCAAGTCACGACGGACATTGGAAAAGAGTGGAGGATTGAAAGAGATTGTTGCCGTTGCTGTGCCATTATTGGAAGATTCAATTCGTAGCACATCGACAATTGGTGGAGATACAAGGGCTGCTGGAGAGATAGCACCAGAGCAAATGGAGTTACTGGATGCAGAGTTTCGACTTTGTGTCGAGTTGTTAAACTGGAAAGTTGAAGATTCACATGTGGAAAAGTTGTCGTGGAGTTTTAGTGGCTCAATAAATGATGATCTTACTGGGACTCGACCAGTGCTAAGGCCACAGGCTTCGTGGAGACCAATTTTAGTACGATTGGAACTGATTCACTCAGCTTTTAACACGTATGCTTTCTTTCGGAAAGTAGCAGCCAAGAATGAGACGCTACTTCACTTGGCTCGCCAATTTTTGATTCAGCTGGCGTCTCTGCAGGGACCCATCTTCGAGAGCAAGATGGAACAGGTGCAGTTCTTGAGTGAAATCTTTCGTGGCGTTGTCACAGTTGTGCATAATCCGTTCTTGGACCTGCTAGCGGAGCGGGATGTCACTGGGTATGAGTTAGCCACTCGCGAGCTGATCGATTGCTGTCAACTCCTCTTTCGGCTCGTAAATAACATTGGGCTTAAGGATCTTTTGCAAGTTGACTATGGACAACTGTTCTCTTCGTTTATCGAGGAATTAGCGTCGCTGACCAGCAAACTCTTACACTCGGCGTTAGTGCGCATTCAACGCCACTTGCGTGAAAATTCTAATGAGACAATCGATGAGCTGTGGGAACTAGAGGGTGTCGATATTCTGCTGGATGCGTGGGTGGCGCTCGTAAACGACCCTCAGTTGCTAGAGGCGGGCTTATCGGGATCCTCTAAACAGGATTTGGATCAAGCACTGATACTTCTCAGTAATGCCTCAGCTCCTGTTGTAGAGCTCTACATTCAGGTTCAACTAGAGTTATGTGCGGTGGAGGTTCAAACGGATCAGGATGAAGACGTGGAAGACAACGCCGCCAGTAGTGCACGGGAGCAGTATGAGCTGGCGGCAGCACTTGCTAGGGTAAACGTTTCGGCGTCAGCTGTCTTGTTAGTGTCGCTTGTCCAGTCATTGATGACTAATATTCAGGAGGAACTAGGGAAACTAGAGGGGCGCGATGAAATGACACCGGTGCTCTCACAACTTTTCGAGAAGCTGCATTTTGCTGTTCTTTTTGTGGGACTATTTCTCGCAGACGACTTCGACGGCGAACGGCCAGGCATCCCAATCCGAATTCGTGCCACTCTTGATGGCGTTGCCGTAGCTGACGATTCTCCTGTGATTAACCTCGTCATGCTTATTTTGAGCCATGTGCTTGAATTCGAAGCATCACGTCTTGCCCGAAATCCAACGAGCAACTGTGTCAGCCCGTTTGTGTCGGAAGGACTTATTAAGACGATTACACGGTTGTGTGCTACATATCTCGCCCCGGATGTTCTACTCGACTCGAGAAGTGTGTCACCGGCGGTTTTGCAAGTTTTTGATTGCCAGGGTGGAGGTCGTGGAAGCGAGTTGTTGAATTTTCTGGTACAGCAGGCTATGGTGTATCTCCTTCACTGGCCGACACAACCTGTGGTCATGGAAAACCTGATCGGATTCTTGCTTGTTCTTTCTAACACGCGAGCCATCAACCCCGTTCTAAGTTCGCAAATGTGGCAATCACTTGTCCAAGCTAATGCATCTGCTGAGTCGTTTATTGTTACGTCAGCAGGTAAGAATGAAGCAACACTACATGCTGCAGTTGCCAGAATCCCGGCTAACCTCCGCGGCCACCTTACAGAGGCGTTATGCCGAGCAGGAATGGCATCAGTTGATCCGAACATGCGCACGGCTCATTTTGAGGCTATGAGTGGGCCTGTCGAACGGCGACTGCAACAACTCATTGCACTACCAACCTTTGAGTCCAAGCAAACGGTAAATGATGTGCGCCTGCAGGAAGAGCTCAAGCTGTTAATCGAAATGTATTCGGGCATCGCGCGGTCGGCTGAATCAAACAGTCATACCGCTATCACAGCATTCTGTCTGCCTGCTCTGCCTGTCATTGTAAAGATTTTCCAGATCTTCCAGGGTGATTCGCAGATTGCGAACCTTATCCTCAACTTCTTCTGCCTGATGGTGGAGGCCCAATTGTGCTATCTGTCTCCTCGAGATGCGCTGCAAGTGTACACCGCTAGCGACAACCTTATCCGTGCATACTGCCGCTATAATTTGGGCAAGAAGAGCATGCTGGGTGACGCCGAAGAGGAAAATTACGTCGACTTGTTGGCATTGCTTACACTGCTGTCGCATCTGGTGTCAAAGGACTTCATTGATTTTTCGGAAAACGCAACAACTAAACAAGAACATGCTGACGCTAGCTGTGCTTCAAGCGTCGTTGCTGACGTGGTCTTCTCTGGTTTAAGTCAGGTGATTCCGCTTATGACGGAGCAGCTATTGGCTTACTCGAACTTGAGCAAGCAGTATTTTACGTTGGTGTCGTATATGGTGGAAGTATACGGGGAGAAGCTTGTGTCGTTGTCGAGCGAGCTTTTCCAAATGCTTTTGCACTCGCTGTTGGTAGGCATCCGTCACGTGTCGGTAGACGTTGTGCGCAACAGCTTTCAGGCGCTAGGTGAGTTGGCTAGTTATCACTGGAAAGCAATGCAAAGCCAGAAGCCAGGACTCGATGCACATCGTCAACAGCATCCCGAGATGTTTATGGCGTGCCTGCGCCTTATCTTCCGTATGGCGCTTTTCGATGATTTCAATCCCGCCATCCTTGATGCATGTGCTGGTACGCTATACCCACTCATTCTGATTGAACAAGCACGCTACTCAGCGCTAGCCGACGAGATTATTCGCGAGCAAGAAAGTTTGGACGTCGCCAGTCAGCAGCGGTTGGCCTCAGCATTTGCAGAGCTCATCAGTTTTGTGTCACCTGGAGATATTGCAATGGGCACGGCAACTACGCGCAAGATGCGCGTACAATTCAAAACGAACCTGTACGCTTTCTTGGCTGAGGTGCGGGGATTTCTTCAGGTCAAGTAAAGCATTCGAGAGTACTTTCTTCACGATTGGACCGTTGTTTTGTGCTTGGAAAAGCGTCTTGCCACGCTAGCTATGCTGCCAGGATGTGAAGTCGAATTCATTGCGAACTGAATTTCGTTTAGTAGAACAACACATTATATCTGCCAAGCGAGGAATCCGGTCATCATTTGTGATGATCAATTTTTGGCGATAACCTCGATCCCAGCGGTTTGTTGCCGGACACTCGCTTCGACATATTACTTTGCTCAGAAGGCCGCAGAACCCTTACAGAATCAAAGCATATCTGTTTGAGTTCTCACAATCGCCAGCTCTTGAGCCACTTTTACGCTAGGATTGCTTGCTGCCCTCAGTCTACAGTAAAACTCGATCATAGCAATCACGCCTCACTATATGCTTCAGGAACACGAAAAAGAAGCAAACATGCCACAATCCCTAGAAGAAAACAATGGCAGTTAGAAAGAGATTGAGAGTTAGTATATTTGTAGAAGCACATCACACGCTTGCAAGCGCCGCAGTCAGCAGGCATCTCGGTCTGCGTCGTTATGTTCAAAAAAATTCCTGCCTGCCAGCTCATCCGGCAAATAAGTCTGATCTTTGAGCTCGTCTGCACTATAGTGCGGGTTGTACTTATACTCCTTGCCATACCCAAACTGCTTCATAAGTCTCGTCGGGGCGCTACGGAGATGAAGCGGGACGTCAGGCAGTGCGCCTTTATCCCACTCATTGATTGTTTGTTTGGCTCGCTTGTATGCGGCATAAACCTCAACAGACTTTGGTGCGCGAGCAAGCATCGTTGCAACATGAGCAAGCACGACATCACACTCGGGCATTCCAATAAAGTGAGCGGCCTGGTATGCTGAAACCGCCATGGGGAGCAATTCAGGAGCTGCCAGACCAACATCTTCACTTGCAATTCGAATGAGCCGTCGAGCAACATACAATGCGTTCTCGCCGCCTTCGAGCATGCGAGCCAACCAGTAGAGCGTAGCATTTTCATCGCTACCGCGCACTGACTTATGGAGCGCACTAATGCAATCGTAGTGCATGTCGGCGTTTCGGTCGTAGAAAAGCGTTTGTCGATGGGCAAAACAATGGTGGACATGGGTGGCCGTTACATGCAGAACATGCTTTTCTGCATCCAATGGAGCCGTTTGTATGGCCATCTCCAAACAGTTTAACGCGACTCGGGCGTCGCCCGCGCATTGCTTTGCCAGGTAGTCAATGGCCTCATCGTCTGCTTCGATAGAGATTTCTTTCGAGTCACTTCCCGCACTGTCGCCATCGTCAACAGCCTTTTCCTGCGTCTGTGTCAGTGATTGTACAACCCCAGCAGCATGATCACGCACTGCACGTCGAAGGATTGTTTCGATTGACTCCGGTGAGTGTTTCTTGAGTGTAAATACACGGCATCGGCTCAATAACGCATTATTCACCTCGAACGACGGATTCTCAGTCGTAGCACCAATCAGCGTAATTGTACCATCTTCCACAGAAGGTAAAAATAAATTCTACATGATAGGCAATCAATCCATCGTTAGTCAGAAATGCATGTCAAGTTTGACAAGTGACGTACCTGCTGACTTTTATTCAAGCGATGAATTTCATCGACAAAGACAATTGTCCGTCGACGAAACATTTTCCTTTCTCCTCTTGCTTGAATCACTGCGTCCTTTATATCTCCTACTGTAGCTGTTCCTGACACGGTAATAAATTTACATTCTGTCTTCTTCGAAATGACATTTGCCAAGGTCGTTTTCCCGCATCCTGGTGGCCTGATTGCGTCAACAAATTGTCCCAAAATCCTCAGCATTAGATCGATTTCATACCTCGATAAAGCAAGATTTTATCTTACCCCCAGATAATCATATTCGGCACTTGATCGGCTTGAATAAGTGTCGCTAGAAGACTACGAGGGCCTAGTAGATCGTCCTGGCCTACCAGATCGTCCATATGCTTAGGCCTCATTCTTTCAGCCAATGGCACAGCAGAAATATCGTCATATGTCGAATGTTTACGCTTCTTTAACGCTGAAAACGATGACTCGGATCTTGGAGTTGATCGATTGCAACGGCTGCTTGTATGGGGTTCAAACTTGATAGATAAAGACTGAAGGGGTGACTCAAGCTGTTGCTTCTTCTGCTGCTGCTGCTGCTTGGTCAGACATGTCTCAACATGCAGCGGGAGGTTTTCAAGACGCACATGACGCGAACAGATTGGACACTCGGTCGACGGCATGACTTTTGGCAGGTCAAATGAATTTGATTATGTATCGATTTTGGACCAATCATATGAAGTGGCTTAAAACAGACCGGACCTGATCCCAATACGAAAGTCATGCTTTTTCTCAGCCTCAGACGCATCAGCGTATAATTAATGCAGTATATACAGTAGTAAACATGGGGGGATACTTAGTGTTTGGGGAGGGATACTTAATGCCTTCCTTATTAAATTGCTACTGCCATCTTGAAGTGTGCTCAATTGCACTATTCGTACTTAGTCCGTTTTAAACTGTTTGGTCGACAAGAATTGTAAAAGAAGAGTCAATGGAGCAGTCTCTTGGTCCCAATGGGGACGATCTTACGCATCATAGCGGCAAGCGTAAGCGTAAAACAAGTGATGAAAGTGTAGAAGAAGACGAGGACTTCAAGACTGAAGAAGAGCAGGAAAAAAAGACCAAGAAGAAGCGAAACAAGAGGCAAAAAACAAGCTCGTGTCGAAACACTGGAGTTGTCCTGCCTGCACGTTCCTTAACGAGACGTCACGCTGTTTCTGTGAAATGTGTGAGACTCCTAATCCCTCGACATCTTTATCCGCTGCCCGAAGCGCCATCTCTGCCTCAGAATGGAGCTGTGCAGCCTGTACGATGGTAAACCCCACAGTTATGCGGGGCTGTGCTGTCTGTGGGACGCTGAATCCACGGCCTGTCGCGCCTTTAGGTCTGAGTATTTCTAGTATTTCCGAGTCTCTTGGAGACGAATCAGTTTCTTCTTGTAGTGAAGACAGTGATGAAAACGACAGTGACAGTGATGAGGAAGATGAAGACGAAGCAGATGACGAGAAGTGGAGCTGTAAAAGCTGCAACACGCAGTCCAGTGGACGAACGTGTCTGAATTGTTGTGCACAACGGCCAAAAGTTGCGGGTAAAATTGACAATGCAGAGTCAAAGGAGAAGAAAAAACAGGCATTTGAGAAAAAAAGAAAGCGACGGAAACGTGAAAAAAAGCTGCACAAAAGAGCAAAGATAGCGTATGGAGTGTCGATCTATGAGCTAGAAAAAATGAGTCAAGAGCCGATAAGTAGCCGCTTGGTTGACACTTTGCAGTCGTTGACACATACCCTTGCGATGATGGACGCATCAGCGGATAATGAGTGGGCCGATGGTTCGTCTTTTTTGATTCGAAGCTTTGGTAGTAGCTCCTCGTCAGCGACAGCTAAAAACCCAGAGCTAGTCACAGTGCTAGCAAATATTTTTTATGGACATGAAAAAACGTATCCAGCGGAAGTTCGACTTTTGGCAGTCCAGTCCATTAACTATTTGATGAAGATGGATCGACACATGTTTGCACGGTCGAAGATAGTAGAGGTTGTCAGGTTATATATCACTGAGCTATTAGCCTGGAAGCACAAGACCAGCGCAAGTGCTTCGAGCTCTGGTGTTGTGAAGAGTGGACAGATGATCGTGGAGGAGTGCTTGAGCGGCTTATCGAGTATATGTAGCACCGAGGGGTTCGCTCTTCGTGAGGTGATGGCGCAAGGGAACTTTGTTGGATATCTATCTTTTCTGCTGAGGTTAGTGAATGGAGATGAAGAAAACTATCGTGACTTTCATCCCAGTATTGTAATGACTGCCCTTGGAATTTTACAAAAATGCTGTATGAAGTTGCGATGGAGCGGAAAGTGTTGTCAACAACACCACTCGGCCGGAAATGCGACCGCAAAAAAACCTACCGCACTGGGTCAGGTTGATCAGCTTACGCTAGGGCTTGCTACGAAGCTGATTGATTTTTTGCGTCATGTGCTACAACACAAACATGTCCCGTTACACGTCAAGGCAGCCAAGTGCTTGCTGCTTATTTTTCATCGCACTCCTTATGACTGCCCTGAGGTCATGGCGAAGCTTGTGACATCTGAAGTGTTACGCAAGTTTGTATCAGTGGTGGTAAACACAAATAGCGACGAGTCAGAAGAATCGCGTCTTGCAATGGTCACTCTCTTGCTCCATTTGTTTGATGATCGCCCGCAGCTTGTCAGCATGTTTGTACGGGAGAAAATATATACAGATTTATTTAGTGGCATATTGCCATTGCTGCAGTCTTCGTCGGGAGCTCTCCGGACCAATGCGTTGAAACTCACATCTATGCTTACGCGAGTGGTATGTAGAAAACATTCGTTGGAATTTGCAAACAGCTCTCGTCGCAGTTCAATGGATGGATCCGCTTCAGGGGACAAACGATCTTCTGCTTCTACAGGCTCCGCCTCACGATCGCCTCAGAACAAGCGCAATCGGCAACGATTGAATTCGCTGCCGGACCCAGATGTGCTGTCAACATTGCTTCTGGACTTCATTCGTGCAGATTCGATTGCTGCTGTGAATGTCCTTTTGAAGGACGGTGCCGATTTGAACGCCCCGAAACTGTTTGATGTTCGAGGAAATGAGTTTGATAAGCCGCTTAATGTCGCGGTGGAGTGCGCATCTCTTGGAATGGTACGACTTCTTCTGAAGCGAGGTGCTGACGTCCACCAGGTTGGTATCGGAGGCACCGCTCTCCACGTTGCAGCTAGGACTGGTCGCTGCCATATCGCTGCTTTTTTGTTGCAATGTGGAGCACGCGTGCAAGCAAAAGATCGTGAAAAGAAAACTGTTTTGGATGTAGTAAACCTAGCAGACAAGGCAGCAAGTGGAGACAACTCAACGGAATCAGTTACGTCCCCAATGAAGAAGTTGCTAGAGCTTCATCAGCGACCTGATGGTATGCAAGATAACGACAGCGATTTATCAGAGGGTGATGAAATGTCTGGTGGTAGGAGTCGGGCGTGGTTTTACGCATCAGATCAGGACGACGAATATGAAGATGATGATGGCGATGACACGGACGATGACGAACTTGAAGGCGAGGAAGGTTACTACATGGATTATGATGAAGATGATGAAGATGATTTAGAAGGTTTCGAAGAAGCAGGCCAATATAATGAAGAAATGAGCGGTCACAGTGATGATGATATGATAAACACGGAGACACAACCAAGCGAACGCCGCCCGGACTCAAATTTATTGGAATCAGAAATGAAGTTAGAGGGGCGCTACCAAAATGCAAGTGGCGATAGTTCAAGATTCATCAGCCGGAGTCATGCATTTAGTGGAAACGACAAATGTTGCCCAGATGATGATGTGATGTTGGAGTACAGAGCCTTCAGCGCCACAGCTGACGAGGTTTACGAATTTAGTGTCGCTATTACCCAATGTCTATTAGCAGTGCTACATGACATGGATATCCAAAACGTGGAACGCTCTGTTATTTCTACTGTGGCATGTGTGCTGGAAATGGCACCATCACAGCTTATTCGCACGTTAAAAGAGGTGGACGTGGTGCTCATATTGGACACAGTACACTTCTTACTTCAAGGCGAGAAGCTGCACCAAGCTAGTGCAACTGCACCAACCAGTTCAGCAAAGGAGGCGACATCAAGGTCTTCTTTGCAAATGGCCACGCACGGAGGTGCATCAAGTGCCGCTCACAACTTGCCGTCATTCATTTTAGCAGTTCGCATATTGGACGCTGTTATCAGGAAATCTTCCAAAAAATCTTCTCTGTTTCATCAAATCGAAAGGAGGGGCATCCGTGAGCAAATTGAGCTATTAAATAATGCATCGGCATGCTGGGTCAGCACTACCTACGACGGCAATTATTCTCGGGGTCCTTGCGACACAATCTTTGGAAGATGCCTAAATATGCTGAGTTTGCTTTGGTCAGACGTGCTCGAAAGTGGTATGCTTCATCTACACAAGCTCCGCAATCTTGCGAGGCGTTTGAAGGATTTTTCTGATGAGTCTCGTTCATGTGATAAAGAACTTATTCTGATAGATTTAGTGGATCTTTTTGAGCAGCCAAATTCCATTACAACGTACGAATTTAAGCGGTCGCAGCTTTTGCCTGCAGTCCTTCAGTATCTCACTCCGCGTGGTAAACTTGATGAGCCTCGAGCTTTGGCGTTAATGCGCGCTTTCGAACGCTGTCCGTCTGCACTGAAGCATCTGATTTTTCGTCTTCAGAGTATCATCACTCAAGAGGAAACGTTTCCATTAATTTCTTTCAGTACTGGGAAGGGAAGGGAGCTGTACCCGCTAACTCAACAGATAAAGATTACGTTTGTGCGTCCTGGTGACATAAATGCTGACGATAAGCAGCCTACGGGCGATTGTGACCGTCCAAAGGAAAAATCGATCCAGTCATTGCCATTGACGCACTTTCAGTCGTTTGAAAAATCGGTTTTTCGATGCATGCCTGTGATCGATTCAAATCTGTCTTTGCTGTACCGCAACTTGGTGGGCCATTCTATCCAAAAAGTGGTGGATGGAAAATGGAGAAAGTTCTTAATTGTGGGGTATGACGATACACGATCTTATCACCTGGTCAAACCAATCGGTGGAACAGACGACGATCTAAATGAGATGGTACTGCACGACTCGCAATGCAAGTTGATTGGAGGTGTCGAAGTTTACGAAAATGTTGCGCTGGATCTAACGCTTTTCGGATCGCCTAATGCTGTGGATACTGTTCGCCTCGCGGATGGCAAGAAAAAACGAAAGAACAAGCGAAAACGAAAATCTGCCACTCAGAAACAGCAGCATGATAGCGAAAGCACCTGCCAAGTGGAGGCGAAAAATGCTGGTATGTTGAAAATGGCGAAGCTACCAGGAGCTTGGTATGCAGCAATACTCGTAAACGATTTAGGCGAGACCTGCAAGTTAGAAGGCCAAACACGTGGAGAAGTACTTGGCCTGCAGGGCACTAAATCGGTAAAAGAAATTTGCAACTTAAGATACGAAACCTGCGAAGAAGTGCTTGTCTCGCAGGTCACTCACTCGGTAAAAGTGCTGGCTGACAACCGAATTATTCGTAATGTGCCAGCTGATTGCCTCCGCCCACGAACGCTTCAGCCACAAGTGGGTAGCGTGGTTGAGCTGGATGGTGTTTTAGGTGAAGTCACTCGAATTTATAGTAATCACTGCCCATCGAGTGGTGCTGCAAACGTATTGCTTGATGTGAAAATGGATTCTGGTACTGAGAAAAGTCGCGTGAAGAAGGATCGTGTCCGCTTTCCCGCACGTCAGACAACTACTCTTACAGCCGGAGAGGAGGGCGATCGAATCGAAGCAATGAGTATGCAACGATTATTTCCAGCTAGGGACAGCTCGTTGGTCGGAAACATTGGCGACCGCGTGTGGGTTTTGCCTCCTTCCGGATCACAAATTGCTGGTCTATGTGTGGCAGGAACGATCAAGAGCTTTCCTTCTGGGTCGGCATCTGTTCGCGAATCCACTACTGCTATTATAGAAATTTCTTTTGGGTTAACCCAACCTCCTCTTGCTGTGAAGGTGAATCAGGATCGAATACTTAATTTTGCTGTCGATGGTGGTATTTTGTCCGGTAGTGATCCTTCTCGCCTTCTGGCAGCACTGCAGATGGCTTCGGGGCGCGGTCGCTCTAGCAGACTATTTGGCGGTGGACAAACTGGCCAAGACGGTAGCACCTCTGCCATTCACCGAGCGGTTGAAAGGGTTACAGAATCATTACAACAACGTCGACATGGAGGTGGACAAGGATTATCAGGCACAGCGATGGACCAACTTCGAAGTTTCATATCCCGTAACTCTACGAGTAGTGGTAATGTGCTCGGCGATGTCAGCAATGCTGACCGAGTTTCGACAACTACACATGACGCACAATTAATTCCTTCACCGAATGAGCCAATTGGGAGTGAAGTGCAAACTGAAGACGAAGCATCAACATCGGCGCCTTCTTGCTTTAGTACACTGCGAAGGTATCTTAAGCCTCAGTGTGCCAAACCCAAGACGATTCTTTTGCAGTTGCCAAAAGTTAGTCTGGTGGTGGGATTCCGCAAGTGTGATACAACAAGTGTCACAGAGCAGGATCGAGTTGTTGTTTCGTCTGAACTCGGCCTGAAGCGCGTTGACAAAAGTACAGCATGTAAAGACACACCTGCACCGTCATTTCTGATTCAGCTGAACTCATCGACGCAGCGATATAAGGCAAGTGCTGGTGCACGTAAGGCCTTGCTAGAAATCTTCAATTCATTCAGCGTATTGGGGTCATCACAAGAGAAGAAACGGAGGAAGCTGTCACATGTAGGCAGTCAACGTGCTGTACAAATCGGATTTCCTTGGGATATTGAGAAGTTTATTGCGTTTATGAAGGCAGTACATGGCCCAAGGAATTGCGGTCACACCGAATCCATTGCAAAGTATTGCATTATCTTTTCGAAATATGCAGACCCTGATACAAATCGGAGACTGTTGAAGTCCGAGGGATTTATTTCATTTGTGGTGCACGAATGCAAGGATGCAACAAAGCTGAAACAGATGCTGAAATTTTTACGGTCACGAGGGTACTCGGAGAAATTTTTGGCTTCGAGTGCATCCCGATGTAGCAGTGGTGACGACCAAAAGGAAGAGAAGGATTCGTCCGATACCGACTCCAGGACTGCTCATGTAAGAACATTTAGCAATAAAGTGCGACATCCATTGGTTCTTCGTGGATTCCCTGCCGACCAGAACGTGCTCAAATGTGTGGAGGAGCTGCGTCACGAACACCATACTCGGACCTGTACAAATTCCTCCTGCAGTGATATGACCTCCACCATGGCAGGCACATCCCTACCGCCTTGGAAGCTAACGTACGAGTTATACTGTGATTTCCAAGTCGAGTGGATGGCGCAGTCCTTCTCCAAGACAAGCGTATCTGATTTGGTGGGCCTTGGTACTAAATCGCTGGAATCTTTCTCTGCGATGGCGGCCAAACCACCGACGCGATTACTGTCGTGCGGTATCGTCACGTTTGACAGCGATGACGCTACAGAAGAGTCGCGGTGGCTAGGTCAGATCATTGGTTCACAAGCTTGCAATAGTACGCACAATGGGATTGTCGTGCCTGACTCGGTGGCAAGCGCTGTACGCTTGCTCCGCTATTTATTCCACTTCCGCGCGGATGTGGCGTCTTCAGATGAAGCATTATGGACGAGCCCGCGCTTGTATAACAAGCTGGAGAGACAGATGCAAGATGTGCTCTCCATGTGTAGTGGTATCTATCCGCCCTGGTGCGATGAACTAGTGACCCATTGCAAATTCTTCTTCCCACGCGATCTACGAGAGAGGCTGTTTCGATCTACATCCTTTGGCTGCACCCGCTCGCTGCACTGGTTCCGGAATCAACTGAATATCGATGAAAGCTCAGCCGACTCGGGAATGTCTTCCATGGTTGTGGGAGGCGGCATTTATAATCAAGAGATTTCCATTTCACCTGTCCCGAAAGAACGCGTCAAGGTCTATCGCGAAAATATCCTGCAATCCGCAGAAGCAGTGATGAAAATGCACGCGAAGCGCAAAGCTGTCTTGGATGTGGTATTCGTTGGCGAAAAGGGCTATGGCACTGGAGTGACGGCGGCGTTCTACTCAACGATAGCACACGCACTTCAAATGATTACAGAAAATCAGAAGAATAAATTCTGGGTCCCTGGCGAGGATGACGAGGCTGAGACCGTGCACAGAGTTGACGCCGTCGGTGACATTGCAGACGATACACCGGTGATTCGTCACTCCAACGGTTTGTTTCCGTATCCTCACCGCACACCGAGTCGGAAGCTAGTCGAGCGTTTTCGAACGATGGGGAGACTAGCGGGTAAAGCACTGATGGATGAGCGTTTGCTTCCGCTACCATTATCACCGCAGTTTATGAAGCTAGTGGTTGGTGAAAGTTTTGGACTCGAAGAGCTAAACGACATTTTCTTGAGCCACGGGCGTATTCTGTATTCGATGTACAAAGCTTCAGAGAAGCTCATCGCAGGAAAGAAGAATGTTGAAATCGATCATACTGACGTCCAGGAGTGGTTGGGTGCAGTAGGATTCACGTTTATTGATCCATTTACGCAGGAGCCTCTCGTGGTTGGCGGGGAAGATATTGCTGTGACCTCAAACAACATGACGTTATATGTGCAATCTGTGCTAGATCTGTGGCTCGACTCGGGCATTCGTGCTCAGGTGCTAGCATTCCGTGAAGGTATCAGCGAGGTACTCCCATTGGGAAAATTGCGCTTGCTGTTTGTGCCGGAGCTGCTGTCACTGCTATGTGGTGAAGATGATATCAAGTGGACCGTAGACTCATTGACAAAGAACACGAAGCTTGCGCACGGGTATACGAAGGGCAGCCAGCCAGTGCAATTTTTATTTGAAGTGCTGGAGGAGATGCCAGCCACAGAGCGACGCAAATTTTTGCTTCATGCAACAGGCTGCCCGAATCTCCCTCCTGGAGGTTTTCAGGCGCTTAAGCCACAATTTGAGGTTGTCCGCCGTATCGTTGAGAATTCAGATGTTGATCATGCATTGCCATTTGCACGTACATGCACGAATACGCTGCATTTGCCAGCTTACTCCAGTAAAGAGGTACTTGCAAAGCAGCTGACATTTGCTATTGCCAACAGCCGCGGTGTCATTGATCGTGACTAAATAAAAGTGGATAACCTCAATGGTAAAGCTGTTATTGCTTCCATGTTATAGTTGCCATGTTATAGTTGAAGTGTAGCCATGTCCATCATTCATTATTCCCTGTATAAAACGATCACATTTTTGTTAATTGATACAAATGTCGTTCTTCGGGTACCGGAGCTCCTCGAGTCGATCTTCTGTGCAGGAGACGCACTTGAGTGAGCTTGAGCGATTGTAAGTGACACAATCATCATTTGTTCTATCATTTCCTTTATATAACGTGACAATTTGTACGCTCTAATTGTCTCTGTGGCCTACAGACGAGGACGTCAGCTGGCGAGTCTTGTACGTGCTGGAGGTCGAGCCAAAAACCAACAACAAACGATCTTTGAGGTCCCAGTAGCCGATACACCACGTGGCTCATTATCCTTGAAGCTGTAAGCTAGATTTTCTACTGAAAAGCAGCTAACAAGGGCTCAAAAACAAAGCACTAAAACTGATGTCATGCAGACAATTGCCATCGGAATTTCCAGTTAAAGTTCCACAGCTTCAGGTGAAGATGGCAAGAATTGTAACTTTTTCATGGCATTGGAGATTGAATTGTGAACAATTATTTGATTGTTAGGCGTCTATCCCGGTGCAACATCGATGGCTCGATACTGCAGGCAATGTACAAGGTCATCCGGATCTTAACCAGTGGACGGCACACTCGGATCTTGGACGGATTGTGACAGAAATTGTTACGGAATTGCGAGCAGTTGTTGCAAGCAGTGCTTTCGCAAATAAGCCATCGATGTCTTTGGCCAGAGATATCTCGCCTGCATCTGTAGCATCATTGTCACAGTATCCTGGAGCCAGCGCCAGCTATACACCATTGAGCCGACCGTCTTTACAAGTTCAGATTCAACAGCCAAAGCAACAATCTCCTCCGGATACTAGTAAGGCACAACGATCACAGATGCCAGAGATTCCTACGATCGTTCCAGAATTGGAAGAGCTCTCGTAAGTTTAAAACTACTGTTTTTCTTCTGGAGAAGATGGAGGTAGGACGGTTCTAAATCTGTTTTCTTTATTTGCGAGGCGTGTAGACTTTTAGAGCTCGAGAAACTAAACTCGGACAAACATGCACTCAAGCGGTTTGTCAAGGAATTACCTTCGGTAAAGGGGTTTACCCAACTAAGAAACGAAGTGTTGCATAGCAACATGGAGATCGCAAAAACGACATTGGGCTACGAGAGTGAGCAGCGTGAACTGCAGACAGTGATCGAGGCTCAACGGACCAAGCTACGTGATGCACAACAGATGCTGGCGGATAAACAAGCGCGTCAGCAGCGTATCGTCACAGTACGTAACCGATTCCGTCTCTATTTCAATGGAGCTCGAGCAAAAATCTAAAGTCTTACTTGTCTTGTACAGCGTCATCGACCCGATGCACTACTGGAACAGCTTTCAGTAGCAATAAAAGATGTGGAAAACGAGACGGACGAAGTTGCGACGCAGTTTATTCATGGTGATATCAACGTTGTGCAGTTTCTCTCGACGTATGTACCTCGACGGAACTTGTACCACGAACGTACACTCAAGTGGACAAGAGTGCATCAGCATTAAATGAAGAAGAAAGAGAGAGAGAAAAAAGAGAGAGAGAGAGAGAGAGAGAGAGACTTGAGCCTTTCAATTGCGAAACTTCCAGTCTTGACGACACATGGGACAATGTTGACGCATGGACTGCAACGACTCGAGCCATTTCACGAGACAGTGCATATGAAAAGCATGATTGCAAGCACCCCATACAGGTGGACAGCCATCACCTGGTCGAATACAATCAGGACACGATGTTTCAAAGGCACAACGACAAATTCCACAACATTCTTCATCCACGCCCCATATCCACGTTGCGACACCGTGCCAGCGTTTGATTGTCACTTTCATTTAGTATCTTTATCCTTTTTGTAGCTTTTGATTCGTTGGAAGATCGAGTCGGTGACAGAGTGTGGACTCCGTCCACTCGTTTATCATCCATACCGGTATTTGTCCACTCATTATTCCAATTGAGGAGTTTTAGTCTCATGGTCGTCCACCATGTCTTCCTACTGCCTCTAGTCGCGCTCTGTAGTGTCCTTCTCACCACAATCTTCATCGTTGATATTGTACAGACAACAAAATTTCCATCTGCATGTAAAATGACGTGGTCGTGGCCCGTGTATACGCCCGTGACGTGGCGTTCCATTGAGTCGCATCCGAAATACCAGTTGTACCGTGTGGATATGCAAGTCCCCCGTGGGGCGTTCACCGGTATACCGGTTTTATTCGTTCCTGGTCATATGGGCAGTTACAAACAAGCCCGTTCTTTGTCCCGTCATTTATGGGACATGAATAATGAACTCTTTGACGTTTTTGCTTTGGATTTTCATCAAGAAGCTACTGGACTCAATGGAAATTATATCACTGATCAAGCTTTTTTCCTGAATCATGTGATACGTGGGATCCTTCGAGAATACAAACGACAAATACAAGACGCCTCTCACTCTCACGTCGTGATTCCTAAAAGTGTCATTATTGTGGCTCATTCCATGGGTGGAATTGTCGCACGGATGGCGGAATTCTTGCCAAATTACAAGAAATATTCCATTCAACATGTCGTGGCATTGGGGGTGCCTTATGATATTCCCTCGTTCCCATTTGATCCAGAAATGAGAGCCGTGTATGACAGGATGCAGTCAAAAAGAGACATAGAGAATGATGTTGTGTATGTGTCGATTGCAGGTGGACATAAAGATACATTGGTGCAGACGTCGTCGACTAGTGTAGACACTGTGACGAAACCTTCACGTGCCTTTGCAGTACTGGCGTCAGCAATTCCAGCAGTCAAGACACCAGTGGATCATTTCTGCTTGTTGTGGTGTCATCAATTACTTAAGGTTGTTGCACAGAGTTTGTACAAGGTTGTGGATCTCGAGACGAGGGAGCTCCTGAGTAGTCCAAGTGTACGACTTGCAATTGCAAAAGAGGTGCTGTTTGGTGGAGAAATTGCTGAAGAGGGTGTGGACAGTAAGACCATTGCAAACGTCTCGTTGCATCAAAGTTACGTGCAGGATGGCTACTACCCCGGCGAGTACATCGGATATGCGCTGTTGCTCCCATACTCCCTGACCAAGCTGCTACGCACTAGATTCGTGACGGTTATCGTGATCATGTACGCTTTGACGCTGCAAATTTTCTACGCACAACTTGCACACTGGCAGACCCGGTTCAATTTGCAGTCGACATCATCTCCTCAAGATCTCAGCCAAGATAACTTCCCATCGTTTACGTCGATGCTTCACCCTGCAGCACATGCTCCTGCCTACCTCAAGTCTGCTTTGGCATTTTTCTCGAATAGTAGATTCACCATCGTTTCGAGCAAGACGACGACAGCCATTGCTGTACTCACTCTCGCTATGACGGCTGGGGCAGGTTACTTTGGCTATGGCAAGTTGTTATCTGGCGAACAGTCAATGGAAAAAGTGATTGTTCTTGCAACAATGGTTGCCGAGTTTATGATCCTCTACGCCTATGCACTAGGCTTGTTGTACGCGGTCGTGAAGTTCTTTTCGCTACTTCAGCGCTTTGTTGTCTCACCAGTTGTGTCCACGCTGAATAATGTGACTGATCGACTCAAGCTTCGTAGCTGGATGCTTATTATTGCGATCCACGGGACTACGCAGCTTCTTGGACAAATTGCGAGCTCATCGTCTGTGAACTTTTCCAGAATATTGGGGCTGCTGGTAATCGTATCATTCGTGATTTTTGTTTTGTATATGCTGGCACTAGGTGGAAATACTGACGGAACCTTGGACCAGCAACGTATGAAACGCTCGCTGTTTGCCATCTTATTACTGTCCATTTTTCCATGGGTTGGAAAAGTTTGGTATTTCATTGGAATTGTGCGCTTGCCGCCGTCAGATCTCCCAAATGATCTACTGATGGAAGGTGGATCCTACATCCTCATTTTGAGTGTGTCTACGTACCTCGTCAGTCTGTCGCTTGAATGCATGATTCCACTGCCTCCGACAGCATTTTTCGGGGCTTCATTAGGACAAGATGCTGCATCTGTGTACGGAAAGTCCTCGAGCAATTCAGCCAGCAACATCAAGATCACGGCTGAAAACTGCCCGAAATGTATATTCGAGGATGGTGGTCCCGGGGCTGTTCTTGTAGAGTATAATGACCGGACTACGCGCCGTGTAGTGGCGGGCAACACTGGTGAAGTGGTATACGTGGGCTTAACATTCCGTGTGGTTTCGTGTGATTGCGTGTACCGATTCAAGAACTCGCGAGATTTCTGTGACTTCTGTATCCGATCGTGCCGATTGTGCGGAGGTGGAAATGGAAACTTCCAGGAGGCTGCCAAGTACAAAGACTTTCTGAAAGCGAGCAAGGTAGACTTGGCAATGCATGCCCTTGTGCCAATGACTTTCCAGATTTGTGCCGCTGTTCAGGCCACCTACGGCTTGTACCGAGCTCATTTGTCATTCTATCTCACGCCTCCATGCGTTCTGGCACTAGTGATCTATCACATCGTGCTTCGTCACCCAGTCGAGGCTCGACGCATCAAGAACAAACAGCGCAAGAAATCGACAAAGAAGAAAAAATCTTCAAGTAAGTCCAAGAGCAAGCCGGTCACGACAAGCTGCGACGCATCGACGACCGCGACTACGACAATCAACGAGACCACCTCTCGCAACAAAAAGAAAAAGAAACGCAAATTGGGAACATCATCTACTTTCGCTGCACAGCAGTGATAGAAGAGATCTCACCTCGTCCTAAAACGCCTCCAAGTCATTAGATAAACCCCACGAGTGCACTTCAATGTACTCATTCGTGCACGTTAACCGACTTACTTTTTCTTCTTCGCTTTGACGTTCTTGCCGTATGTCACGTTGCAGTACTTAGCGTTGATGCGGTACTTGGTGTCCAAGTATTCCAACACCTCGTTTACCATTTGACCATGGATTTGAATTTCTTCGCCCTTGCTTTTGTCCTCGGATATCTGCAGTGCAGCTCTACAGCCCCACTTCTTTTGCGCCTCTTTGCAAAACGCGGCACCGTCGATGCCAAACTGCTGATAAAACGCAATGTATGTGATCGTCGTGTTGTTTCGGCGCTTTAACTGCTCTGCACGAATCGCAATTGGACGTAAAGCACCACCACGAAACTTTGGTGCATGCGTCAAGAAAAGCTTGATTCGATGGTAGTTGGTGCACTTGGACAACAAAAGGTTCAAGACGTCCGGTCGAGTGAGGCGCTCGGGGTACCCACCAACAGGCACCTTTTTGCCGTAAAGAGCGTCAGTAAGAGGGGCGTTTAGTCGCAAAAACTTTTTGTTTCCAGCGTCTACCAGTCCTTGACTTTCAATATACTGAGTCAACAAGTCGCGAATCATTGCAACGGACCAGTACTTTTGCAGCAGTTGACCAGTAGAAGCATCTGGTAAAAGCAGCGTTTTGAACGCAGGCGACAGACCGACACTCTCCTCCACTTCAGGTGCATACTGGCCAGGAGCAAAAGCAGGAAGTCCTGCCGATTTCTCGGCAGCGGCCTGCTCTTCCTGCTGCGCTTCTTCAACGGTCTGATACGCCTCGTGCGACAGCACATCTCTTTACATAATCAACAAATTATCTTGTGAGTAATGCACGCAGATACGAATAGTTTGGTGACAAAACGATTTAATCACGTACCGGTGACGTCTGTAAATTGCGGTAATTGACTGCACGCCATCATTATCGACCACTTCCAACAATCCATGCGCTTCCATACCTTTTAAAAATACAGACAGCTTCTTAAACGAGCTGTGTTTAATGTTCAGCGTTACACCAGCACGACGACATGGCAACAGTACTTTTGCATGGAACAAGCTTGCCAGCATCGGTAACTCCTTTTCACGAATCTGCGACGTCCTTAGTGCTTGCAGCAACGCCGCAACATAATAGCTATCCATCTGCTCCTTAGTCACCTCCTTCATCTCTTCATTTTCTTTCTTCGTCTCTTCTTCCAGTGTAACACCTTCCAAAGTCACGCCAAGATCCTTCACGTCTTCTTTTTCATCTCTTACAATCGGGACCACCCGATCGCCCAGAAATCCCTCATTTGGAAACGTTTGTGACCCCATTTGCCACAATGAATCTCCCACCACATGCCAAAGCTTCAGAGCTTTTCCCTTCAAGCCACAACGTTCCACTTCAGCTGCATCCATCAGTATCTCTCCAACACCAATAGCACATGGATTTCCTTGGACATAAACGGCTCTCAATTCTCCTTTTTGCAGCGTCTGGAGCTCGTCCAAACACGAAAACACGACACCCGGCAGCATCACGTCCGCTCCACGCAGTACGAATTCACTCACAGGTGCATGGACCGTCAGTGCAGGCAAAAGACCTGGCTCTGTCCACAACGCGTACACAGTAAAGCACAAGTCGCCTTTACCTGTCATATCGAATACAATCGGGTCGTTGTCTATAGCATATACTATGACACGAGATGGTGCCTGGAAACTGATCTTCTTGACAGGTACCTTCGAGACAAATAAATGCTTGAGTTGTGGATCATCTGAGCTATTAATTGTTGCGTGAAAACACTCGGATACGTCACGACGAAGCTTTTTCGCGTCCTTATTCTTTAGCAGCACATTACCACTTACTTTGGATGACTTGGCAAACATAGTACTACATTTATAACCAGTAAGAACTGGAGGAGTGGGGGATTTCAACCAATGAAAGAAAGAGCTGATTTGAGTACATTTCATGAGATGTTACTAAAAATTGACTATCTAAATATGGTACTCTAATTGTTGGTTGTCGATTAAAGGGGCTCTCAAGACACTAAATTCGTAGAAAAAAGACTGATTAACACCTTCAGTTCCTGTTAATTTAATCCGAAATGTAGACACAAATAGTGGACTTTTCAAGAAAAGATCACTCACTGTGTGCATGATGATGTTTTTTTTTACTTTAATTTTTTCCTTTTGGTAATGCACGCAATAAACGAGCGTAGAAGTTGTTAACACTTGGTAATGGTCCTTGCTCTGCTGTTGAGTTTCACATCATTCTTTTTCGACTGGTGCTGCTTCTCACGAGGTTGGCCACCAAAAAGCGGTTTCAAGTAATTTTCGTCAAGGCGTTCCCAGATGCCGTGGATACCGCTGATGCTTTGGCGAGAAGGTGATTGGGCAATGGGACGGAATGAAGTATCCGCATCGTGCTCTTCATCACCAGAAAGCAGGCGCTGGTTTGCATCCTCGCTGCTACCAAACAACATAAAACAGCAATTCAGCATGAAACGACAAAGTACATTCTGCAACGAGGTAGTTGCCAACGTACTCATCAAGCTCCCGGTCCTCTTCCTGTGTCGACGTCAAGCCAAAGTAGCGCAGCAGAGGGCGTGTTCCCATTCCGAAAACCTGTTCAGTCAGCATTGATACGTTTTGCGTTAGACGCCACTTATCGTGAATAATAAAATACTGACGGCACCTACTAAAGTCGTGAACATGACTGTGAAAAGCGTCGTGCTTTGGATTATGCTAGCGTGAACGCGATTGGGCGTATACACATTCAGCGCTAGCGCAAAGGCAATTGCGCCACGAAGTCCAGCAAACCAAATTACCACCATGTAGCTCCATGGAATTTTATTGTCTTCCGACCGGCATAGGTTGGCAAGCATACACATCGGGAACGTGTTAAGCATGCGCCCGAAGACACAAGCGACCATATTGGCAAGGATGAAACCCCAGTCCCACGTAAAGTACCCAGAGTACGCCACCACACTCATTCCCATGTAGATGAAGACGAAATTGTCCGCCATGAATGACGAAGTTGTCAGCAAATGCTGCAGAGCTGTTGCGCTCTCATCAGCTATATTATACAGGTGATAGTGACTCATCAGTACGCCCGAAAAAAACAGCGCCACGATGCCACTCATTCCAACGAGGTCGGCAATCACGTAACTCAAGTACGCAGAGAGCAACACGATTGAGATCTCGTAGGAGGGATGCTGATGAAGAGCCGGGTCAGCTTGTTTGAGTAAAAATGCCGACGTGAAGCACACGACTGCTGCCAGACCGACAGAGCCAAAGCCAATTCCAAACACCTTGATGATAATGATGCCTGCATCGTGTAGGGTAACATCAGCAATATCATTCCGAATGAGGCCCTGGAACAGCGTGAATGACACGATTGCTATAGACACGTAGGAAAGCATTAGCTACAGGTATTGATCTAAAAGTGAAACAAAAACTCACCAACACCGTCATTCAGCATGCTTTCACCAAAAACAAGATTGAAAAGAAGTGGAGGTACACCATTCTTCTTGAACACTGACAATGTAGCAACTGGATCCACCGCAGATATAAGAGCACCGTAAAGGTACGCCTCTGCAGTAGTCAGTTGGGTGATAAACCCCATATTTCCCAGCCAAATTAACACACCACCCGTAATAAACGTCGCAATCAGTGTCCCCACAATAGACAACAGCATGATTGCATTAAAATTGGAAAAGAAACCCTATCATGATCAGAAACAATAACAAAATATAACGTAAGTTACCACCTCTTTGACACCTCATTTATCAATCATAACAGTCTTAAACTGTACCCTTTTCTTCATATTGAACCCCGCCTCAAGTATAATCGGTGGTAGCAGTCTATAAAATCCCCAAAATAATCAGCAACTTAAGCTAAAATAACCCATTCATAAACGTACGCATAAAAGAGTATTTCAGGATCCATGCCATTGTTCAGCGATTCCTATACCACAGCACCCAGCTCTCAATTAGTATAACAAGTATACAAGAATCAACACTAAACTCCTTCTCTCTGTCTCTTTCCAACCATCGGGTAAAAGATCAGCACACCAGCTCCAAACTACACGATCACATGATATAAAAACACCCACTAAAGGTCATGAGTAAACATAATCATCTCTCTCTCTCTCAGTCGGTAATTGACCCACCAAAACACCAAAAAAGATGGCAACAGCAGACTCAGAAATAAGCACAGGATGCTCTGAGCGGTCCAAGCGGTAGGACACCAAGACGAGCGCTAATTGAAGACTCGCTATAACGCACAACTCTAGACGTGTCCATTCCGTACGACCTTCTTCTGTGTTTACTGCTGCTCCTGAAGTTGTTATACCACGAGCTGCATCCAGGACGGTATTGCCTGTAGCTGATCCTGAGAAGTTTAATTCACCCATTGTATAGTCGTATAGTCGTACTAAATATAATAACTGACGAGTCAAATGCTGTACTGTTGCTGCAAGATATATTCTCCAATTTGCGTAGTAGGCTTAGTAAAGTTGCTTTAATGTTGCTAGAAAAGAAGGTGTCATTGAACTGGACTAAACTACCTCTTCATTAGCCTGTTTATACAGTAAGTATCGACGGAATCGACCTGTACTAATCGAATGTTGTACTCACTTTACTCGAGATCTTCACTTTCTTCAAGGTCCGACGAAGGAAGCGATGGAAATTCCAGCAATAAGTCCTTCCGAAACGCGTACATCGTAACATGCCGGAGATATGATGTCTTTTCGGGTAAAAACTTGCCACTCTTACTGTGCGAGATCATTGAGAAGTAGAGTGCATTACTGTCAACAATAAAGACACGTACAGGTAAAGCATAACACCCTTTCCTTATTCATTCATCCATGAATAGGGACGGGCATTATGACGCACCTGTTGCGATCGGTAACGCACCTAACGACATCTCGTCTATGAGCATTCCGCTCGTTATAAGTTGGTGTAACAAGAGTGCTCATGACACTGTCAGGTCCCGCACTGTGCAATGCTTCAATGTATAGGTCGACATATAGTGGGTCCACCTCTAGCTCCTCGCTTTGAATGTTCACTACAATATCATACTCTTTCAGCTCGTGGGGTCCATCAAATGTAGTGCGTGCACGATACGGTCCGTTCCAGTGTTACAGAGGCCAGTGAGCACTATGCGACTATTCACTGCTTGTAGGACCTGTAGGACACGCTACCTGTCAGTGGCTACCATCACTTTTGACCTGTCACTGTCTACCATCACTTTTGACCGCAATTACGATCTTACTGTAGCTGCATATGTATGTTCAATGATTGTCTTTGATAACTAGAGGTCTTCCACGGAAGCGTGTTGAGCCTAATTGCTCACACCCAATCCGTCCTTCGTAGGATTGGTCGTATAAGACTGCAAAAAACGGGTCGAGTAAACGGGTCTTATGCGAGACCCGTTTCTTGCATTGCCTGCATTCGATCAGTACCCGATCCCAATGCATCTCGAAGAGGGACTTCGAATGCGTGAAGAGCACGACGACGGCAAAGACCGTCACTCACCTGTGCGTCGTGGCAAAAGTGGATTAAGCTCAACATTTCATCATGGCATCAACAATTACGAGCAGTGGGTAAAGTTGATTGCAGTGGGATCTCTAGGAGTCTGGACGATTTTCGCACTCTTCTTTTGGCACATGTATGTGACTCCAGCAAAGCAAGGGACAGCAATTAAGTCGAGGAATTACAATAAGCCGCCATCGATTCTTGATGGGTTTCCAGTGGAAACCAACTTTATTGTGTTTGGAGACTTTGGAACGGGCGATGAGAACCAACGTAAAGTGGCGATGGCGCTTGAGAATTACGTGTCTACAATGGATCCACCTCCAGCCTTTGTACTGTCAACAGGAGATCAAATTTATGACCATGGGTCAGTAGGTGTTACTATGATGCCTGTTGAGTGTTGAGGTGAGGTGCTGATTGGAAGTATTGTGGTGTTTGCAACTAGAATCGAGTCTGTTGATGACCCCCTGCTATCAACACACTTTAAGCAAGTACGATAGGATCATTAGAAGTTTTGTCATTCAGGTGAGCAAGTTGTGCTGATGAAGGTGTTTTGCTTTTTGCTACAGATGTACACACATAGCAAGATGCAAGTGCCGTGGTATGTAACGTAAGTCGTCATCTCCTGCTGCTGTTATTCTCAGTAAAGACCAAGATTGAGATGTAATATGGTGAATGTGCTGCTGGTGTTTCTGTTTAGAATCGGAAACCATGACTGTGAAGGATCGATCGGTGCAATGCTCCAGTATGCTGAACAGAACGACTCGTTGTGGTATATGCCACGTCGATATTATTCAATCGATCGTCCTGTGGCACCTAAGACGATCCTGAGACTCGTCGTCATCGATGCCTGTGACTTGGTCTGCGGTTCTGAACCTCGAGATTTTCGCTGCACTCAACGAATGATTGACCAATCTTCCGTAAAGACAAGACAGTCGCAGTACGAGTGGATTGAACAAACGCTGAGTGCTGGTAAACCAGCAGGCGTGGAGCAAATGTGGACGATCGTAATGGGTCATTGGGGCGTGTACAGCTTCGCAGGTAACGCTGACACGCCGGAGTTGATTAATATGCTGGATCCGATACTGAAGAAGTATAAGGTACACTCGTACTTCAATGGCCACGACCACTCGATGCAGCATGTCCGCAAAATGGACACTGACGGTTCTGTCCGCAACTACTTTACATCGGGTGCTGGCGGGTTTCGAATTCACGACCTTCAGCCCAATGCTCGCGCAAATCCAGACCTGGTGCACGCGGCTTTGGTCCATGGTTTCATGTCCGTGCACATGACAAGGACGTCTTTCCGTGTGCAATTTATTGACGACACGAGCGAAATCCTCTACACCACCGACGTGAGAAATCAATAAACGAGCCCCATCAGCTCTAAACTTTACTGCATCTTAATGCTATGTCAATGTATAGATAAAGGAGTACGTGTTTCCAGATTATTGTGTGCAAGTAGCTGTCTTCCACACATTGTCTGTTCTAATTAAATGCAAATGCTCTGTTGTCATCTACGCCTCCTTCTTGAGCGAGTGCCAGCTGAGCTCCTTGGCTTTGACGAGCTGCAGCACGAGCTGGTCCTCCTTCCGTTTGGTCTTGACATCCGAGATCTCGTCATTAAGCTTGGACACTACAAAGAGACGTGTCTTGCCTTCGTAGTTCTTGATTTTCACTGTAAGACTCGAGGCCGTCCATTCAATGAGCGTTCCCTCATCCGAGTGGGAGCCAATGCCCGGTAGATTAAGGTACACTGACACATGTTTCTTACCATCAGCCCAAGCAAAACTGGCAATGGTTTCCATCACTTCTACAGATTCCGGAGAGATCGCCAGTGACTGCGTCTTTAGCAACCGCGGTGCGGCATTGCCGTCCCATTCATGAATCTCAACATTCTCACGTTTCTTGTGTGCGTAGTAATAGCTGTTAGTGCCCTTGTTTTTAATATTGGACTGTAGTGCAGAGATATCGGCAATTGCTATCGAAGACGTGTCTTCCATTGGTGACAAATGTGTAAATGACTTTGAAATGTGCTTCGAAACACACTTCTAGAAACTCGTGAAATAAGTTCGTGTAGTTTACCGTAATTGAATGTGCTATACACAAAAAAATAGATTTTAGGTACGACACACTATTACTGATTCAAAGTTTCAAATGGTTCCTATCTGATCAGGTGAAGACGCTTTATATTGACCTTATGTAGTATTGATAGAGATATTATAACATCTTGGACTACAAAATAAACCTTGCTTTAAGGACTCTACTAACTTTCAAGGCCAGTCCACCTCTTCGACGGCCGTTATTGTACCCGATCCCAGCAAGGCGCCATGGCAAGTCCCCAAGCGGCAGTACCACGTCTGGAGCGCATTCCATCGTCCTCCCTTCTCATCAGTCCGCCTCCAAGCCGCAATAATTCTCGTAAGCGCTCGCACAACGTGTCCGAATCAGATCTTCACAAAGTTTCAAGCGAACTTAAGAATGGCGTCTCAAGTGCTACAAAGAGCAGAACAGAGCCCTCCAATGGCATCAATTGCAGTGCTAATAGTAGCAAGAAAGTCAGTAATATCAGAATCCTGCCCTTCTTGCTAAAAACCGAGTCTAAACGCTCTTATTTCGTGTATTTTATGTGTTTTTTCTAGGCTTTAGATCGCTTCATTCCGACGCGCAGTGCCATGAATCTCGATTTGGTACAGTGCAATTCACCCGATACAATAGCAGCCATTGAGGCGGCTACTAACAGCAGGAAAAACAATAGTCCCAGTTGCTCAGGAGGGGCCTCAACTTCTAGTTCTCTAGCTGAAGACGAGGAGAAACAGATTTATAAAAAGAGACTGGCTAGTGCTCTGCTGGGCAAGGAGGATGACACAAATCATAAGATCCTTAAGTTTACAAAGGACAAGCCAGCGGTGGCTCCACCGGACTCGTTCAAATCTACGTTACAGGCCAGATTCTCACACAATAAGGTGACGGTGGTACCCGCTGCTGCAGCTAAGAAACTGAACCGTCACGTTCCGTCGGCACCGATTAAAGTTCTGGATGCACCAGAGTTTATGAATGACTATTACCTTAACTTGCTGTCATGGGGAGCCAATAACGTCTTGGCAGTGGCTTTGGGTCAGTGTGTCTACCTCTGGAACGCTGTTTCTGGTGAGATTGACGAGCTCATGACCCTCGATGGCGACGAGTATGTGAGCTCGGTACAGTGGAGTGATGCCGCGAGCGGCTTGTCCCATCTGGCTATTGGAACGAGTGAGTCCGTGGTGCAGCTGTGGGATGTCACTGCCTCACGTCAGGTCCGAACAATGAACGGGCATTCATCACGCGTGGGTGCGCTGGCTTGGAACAGCTATGTGTTGTCATCGGGCTCTCGTGACAGCACTATCATTCATCACGATGTCCGAGCACGGCAACATCAGCTGTCAACGTTGACTAGCCATGAGCAGGAAGTATGTGGGCTACAGTGGTCTCCTGATGGCACCATGCTGGCTTCTGGTGGTAACGATAACGCGCTGTGCCTATGGAAAGCTGGAAGCATTGGCACTAGCCGCAGTATGCAAACCCCCGCTCACCGTTTAGAGCAGCACACGGCCGCAGTGAAAGCAATTGCATGGTGCCCGTGGGAGCGCAACCTGCTTGCCACAGGTGGTGGTACTGCAGACCGCACGATTAAGTTCTGGAACACGTCAAATGGTGCAATGCTGAATAGCATCAACACGGGGTCTCAGGTGTGCTCACTGTTGTGGTCTACCACAGAAAAGGAACTGTTATCATCGCACGGATACTCGCAGAACGAACTATGTTTGTGGAAATACCCGAGCATGACCAAGGTGAAAGAGCTTACAGGTCACACTTCTCGCGTGCTGCACTTGGCAGCGTCTCCTGATGGTGAGACGGTAGTGTCCGGCGCGGCAGATGAAACACTACGATTTTGGAAGGTATTCGGTCCTAATCGTAAAGCACGAAAGGCCGGCTCGAGCACTACTGTGCTAAGTAGCTCGTCGCTGTCGAGCGTCATGAGCATTCGATAAGTCTATGTTTCTTGGATGACATGGTCATGACAGCAGTTTAATGCTGGATGACAAGTCGAGGTGCTAAGCTTTGGATTTATCGTCGCCAAGTGATATGTTCAAATGGTCATTTTTTCACCTACTGTGTGTTTACTCGAATGAGACTGTAGTAGTTATTCTAGAAATCCTGACGCGAGCAAGTTCGTCTATAGAAGCGATGTACGAGCACGACATAAGTGTCGATACTGATAAAACTGGTTGTTGTCATGGATCGAGAGCTTTTTGGAAGTGGATACATACGAAATGATGTCATAAAAATTAGTCGGGGATTTGTCACAAACTGTTATTTAATTTGTAGCTTTAAAACTTGTCAAAATTAATCCCATGATTGGTGAAAAAGCTTTCAAAAACTTTTAGTGTTATTGAAAGCTTTTTCACCAATCCTGTCGGGTTTTCTAACTTCAGTTCCACAATAAACCTTTTCATTCAATTTCTATCAGATTTTTATTTGCTAATACTGTATAAACTTATAACCTGAGTGGTAGAATTTGCAGGCAGCTCAACGCATGGCGTCGTTGAGTCCGGTGCAATTCCAATTGTTACTGGGAGCTACAGCATTAGGATACGGCATTATCTTTATGCTTTGTATGTGGCTAGTTGTGTACATGCGTCATCATTTGTCTGGTGCATTACGTGGTGACACAAGAGCTGCACGTAAAGTATTGTTGCCTGCCTTTCAACCACTCTTGTGGTTATTGACTCTTGTGTCGTTCATATACACCATTTCCTTTACTTTATTGGTGTTACAACGATCGGAATTGACACAATTTAGCCGCATCAAGACAGAGATTTATTACAGTGGACGACTCTTTGTGATGGCATTACCAGTACTATATCTTCAACAACGAGCCGTGACAACAAGAGCGTTGGTTCGAGCGTCAGTATACTCGCTATTGCTTGCAGTGTATAATATTCCAATAGTATGGATCGTGGATTCAACACGAGAGGCAGATGCAGTACATTATATCACTATGTTGACAGGAATTTTGCCACTGGTAGTATTGGAATGGGTGTGTTTACGGCCGCTAGGGAGAGCTAGTCACAAGACGTTACGAGAATATGCAGCATTTGTGGGGGTTTATTTTTTCTTGCGGTTGATCTATACGGAGTTGTATCATTTCGGTCTGGATTGTGCAGACGTGACTTTTACAATTACGTTGGCAAGTATTTTTTGGGGATCGTTGGTCCCAGTAGTTATTTGGCGAGTTCTTAAGGCAGATACAGCACATTGGCGGGGTCTTGGAAGACGTGCTGTGCATCTTCAATCGCTTTTTCGACAAAAGTATTACTCTCTTCACGAGCGTGTATCATCGCGAGGACTCCATGTTCTGATTGAAATGCATCGAAAGCAAATTATTGACTTTGCTTATCTGGAGCTACAAACTAAAATTGGCGCAGGTGCTAATGCAGTCGTGTTCCGAGGCACCCTTCACTCGAAGATTCCGGTTGCCATTAAAGTCTATACGCCACGAGTTCTTTGTGAAGATGTTGTGGCTGCGTTTTCACATGAAGCAGCGTTATGCGGTGCTTTACATCACCCCAATGTCGTCCGATTCTATGGCATGTGCGTCTACCCACCCGCTGTGTGTCTCGTGTCAGAACTGTGTCGCGCTTCGCTCGAGGATGTCACACGTGCTAGCGCTAAGGCACAGTTACACCGGCGCAGTCGAGAAGAACAGCACGAACAAGGCGTATGTCCTCAGGGTCAACGGCAACGCCATCAACTACTGATTGATCTGAGTTACATGATTGATGCCACACGTGCAGTTGTGTACATGCACAGCTTCACACCAGCTTTTCTGCACCGTGATATCAAGCCGTCAAACTTTGTGGTGGATGATTTCGGTACATGCAAGCTCACAGACTTTGGTGAATCGCGCAGTGTTCCTGGCGACAAGGTGAATTATGTGACCGAGAACACAACGACAGCGGCAACTGCGGCAACGTCAGCGACAAGGTTGTTTGGAGAGTCATCCAAGGGAGTCCAGACGCCAAGCACCTCCGCTCAACTTGTGCCTCCGCCGATTTCCTTAAGGCCTTCACTGCGTGATCGTGGACGAAATGCCATGACTGTACGTGGTACAGCAGATTATATGGCCCCAGAGCTGATCGAGGGCAAAGCCAATACTGCTGTCTACGGTGAAGCTGCGGATATCTACTCGCTTGCTATCACACTGTGGGACATCATCTATCCTCTCGTCCCCAAGTATCCGGAGGCAACCCGAAGTCATCTTCAGGTATTTGATAGCGTGCTTAGTGGCGAACGGCCTCCGCTTAGTCCGTCCCTACACCCTGAATTGCATCGACTGTTAACTGATGCCTGGCACCAGCAGCCAGAACGTCGACCTTCCGCGACGTATATTCTGATGGCTCTAGAGACGCTTCAACAAGAGGTTGGCGCACAAACGGCATTAAGTCTTGTTTCAGCGCTTGGTCAAGCCGAAGCGCCATCCGCGATGAAAGGAGAGCTTCTTATGCAGCACATGATTGAGCATGATTATGTGGACTCAGCATCCGAAGCTTACTGCATGGGCAATTCACTGATGAGTGCTGGGTTCTTACATCACTCTCAGCACCACGCGTCTTTTCACAAAACGTCCGATCTATTCTACTTTGACGCCGATGTGCTGGGTTTGTATGCACCATCAACTCCCAATAGCGCTTTTCAGACGTCCGTCAGCCCCCTCAGCTCTGATTTCTCGGACGATCAAACGCCGCTAGCTTTTATTGACAGGTATGACCAACATGTCTCAAGCAAGAAACGTCGACGTGCAACAGATTCTTCTGTCACGACAACGCGGTGTTTTTCACCACCTGCTGAAAAAAAGCGTTGCTCAACGACTGCATGTCATGGAAAAAGCACCAAGTTGACAGTCTGTGCTTGTCGGAAGCTTGGTCGTGGCTTGATTTATCCAGACCGGTGGCAAAAACGACGATTCCGACGAACAAAACGGTGGTTGTCTACCATCGAAGAGAGTCTTTTAACTCGCAAGCTTCTTTCACACGATATCGAGTTAATACCGTCTTTTGCCGAGACTGATGGATTTGAAGATTATAGCAACTGGGATGACATGGATTCAAGCATCATGGCCTGGGCAAATACTTCGGTCTCAAGTATTGATGAAGGCTTGGAATTAAGTGATTTGGACGATACGGAAAAGTCGGCTCATGTTGAATAGCAGCTCTAGCTCGACTTAATTGTTACGTAGCTCCTCATTTGTTATAGAAAAGTATTTAAATAAAAAGATAGTATTGTTAACTGACCTACAATTTGAAAGTAAACGTACTGAAGTAACAACATTTTAACACGCTAGATAGTTTTTTTGAGACTATAACATTTAAAAACCGGTATGACAAAAAGGTATATCAGTTTCCAATCCTCACTTTCAAACCAGACGGAATAATGTCATTGACAAACCAAGTGCTGAAGTATATTCCATACGATGCGTTTCCTGAAGAAATTGTGGCAGCAGTAGCCGTCAGTTGCATTACCTTTCTCGTACTAGGAATATACGGTATCTATCATGTTTACGGTTCCATTGTAGCTAGTGTCATCATGGTGATGTTGCTTAGTTTAGGGCTCCGTTGGGTTTATTGGAATGGAATGGGTGTGATGGGCTGGACGAGTCCTTGGTTACGCAATTCGGACGTAATGATGAACTCTCTCTATCGTGAACCACAACCACAAGGGACATTGCGTGTGATCTGCATCTCTGACACTCACACGAAACACCGTCACCTTCAAATCCCACCGGGAGACGTGCTGCTGCATTGTGGAGACATGACAAACCAAGGAACACACGATGAGATTCGAGATTTTAATGACTGGCTCGGGAGTTTACCACATAAACACAAGATTGTTATTGCAGGTAACCACGACGTTTGTTTGGATGCAGTCGAGTACGACCAGCATTGGGACAGGGCGTTCCGTCACAAGAAGTACAATGACCCTAGTTTGTCGAGAAACTTATTCACCAATTGCACATACTTGGAGAACCGCTCGATTATGATTGAAGGTATCAAGATTTACGGGTCTCCTATGACTCCGTCCATTCCTGGACGAGCAGGGGCGTTCCAGATGGCTCGAGGGTTTGCTGAACAACAACATTGGGCCAAGGTCCCAGCGGATATTGATGTCTTGGTGACACACGGTCCACCGCATGGTATCTTGGACACGACTTTTACATGGTTGCATGTTGGCAGTGAAGCACTTCTGAAGGAGACGATGACTCGAATTCGACCTCGTTTTCATATTTTTGGACACATCCATGAAGCTTATGGAGCTACTCGTATGGGCCAAACTGTTTTTATCAATGCCGCTAGTAATACTTTACTCGCCAAACCTCGTCATTTACCAGTAGTACTGGACATTCCCGTCAAATATTCACAATAGTACTTATACAATAGTAATTTCATACTTTTTGGATGTATTTCGATAATATGAATGGCTACTTAATCAAAACCTGTCAATCCTCTCATCGAGCATAAGAATATCCTGATAATCCAAGAACTAGATGGGGATAAAGTATACTTGCACTGACAGCTCGACGCCATGCAGAACGCAGGAAAAGCACAGTATGTCATATAGATTCAGTGCAATTGTTGGTCTCCAGTTTCTCACGGCAGCTGCATTTGGTTTCATGAGTCCCATTATCTCGATCGTTATGACTGAGGTCAGTAGTACTTTTGTACTCGATAAAGTGCAGAATACTATTCTGAGACTATTTGTATGATACTAATTCTCAGACGATTTGTATTATTTCGAAAATAGTATTTTGCTCGGTTTCGTCGAAATGGATTCTCAATTGACTGCGGAGCAAATCCTCATGATGAGGTACTATACATACAAACCCTGAATGTCAAATATTACTACTTTGAAATAATAATGAAAAAATAATACCTAATACTTTACGATAATATATTATTATCCTAGGCCTGTGTACAAGGATCACGACAAGCTGCGTGGGTCTCAAGGTATCATGGAAATTCTATTGGTTTCAAATTGTCGAGACCATGTAATTTTCTAATTTTGTTTTCATTTGTTCACGTGACAGCCTTTTTTCAGCTGTAGGATCAGTGTTCAACTTTATTCTGGCCCCAATGCTCGGACAAGCTTCAGATGTCTATGGACGCAAGGTTTGCTCATGTTTCAGTGTGATGCTGGAGCTAAGAAATGGATGTTGAACCATATTTTGTGGTGTGATTAGCCATTCCTAGTGCTAAGTCAACTTGTCAGAGTTGGAACACCATTTTCCGTCATGTACTTTATGCAACCACGGGGTTCAATTATTCCGTACTTGATATTGAGACTGTTTGATTATGGATTCGGGTGAGTGAGTATTATATTGTGGTGGTGATACAATTTGGAATTTAGTTTGAATAGAATTGTTGTGATTCAGAACTGCTGGGGTGATGAGCGCTGCTGTTGCCGATGTTGTCACTCCGGAAAAACGTGCGGCAGCATTTGGAATTCTATTTGCGGGTCTCTCAGTTGGTTATTGTATCAGTGCCTTTATCGCACCATTTTTCTCTAGAGTGAGTGCTCGTTATAGTTTACAGGAGGAAGTGATACTTTGTGTATTCATAAGGAACTCTTCTGCACAGGATCACGTGTTGCAAATTGCTGCAGCTCTGTTCGTGTCACGAGTTCTATGGGCAATGATTATCCTACCTGAGACGCTGCCTGTTCGATCACATATGAAGAAAACACGATGGGTCATGGAGAACCCCATCAGCGCGATGTCTATCCTTTTCCGAAACAAGTTGTTCATGCGACTGACGTGCTTGATTGCGCTTACAAGTTTCGTTGCAAGCGGGACCTTCCAGATTCAATCGTTTTATCTAAATGTGAGTCACCACTGTAGAACTGAGCTGCATGTGCATCCGACTTACGTAGATGACGGTTCTGCTATTGCCTCCTAGACTATTGTGGGTTTTGACGTGAAGGATTTTGGTGACGTGATGCTTCTCGGGGGCGTCTTGTCTTTACTAGCACAATGTCTGTTGCTCAAGCCTCTGATAACCTGCTTCAAGGAGAAAGGTGTGATCGTTATTGCGGTGATCGCTAGCTTTGTGACGATGGTTGGTTTTACTGGAACCGCGTTTTACCCCCATAAATGGGTAGTCTACGCTTTGTGTGTACCTGGAAGCCTCAGCGACTTGTCATTCCCAGCCATTGCAGCTCTCAAGTCGATCAACGTGTCGGAAAAGGTATGTCGTATACCTCGAAACAAACAAACCATTGCACCTTCTTACACTGTTTCGATTGCGTATTTGCAGGAGCAAGGACGTCTGCAAGGCGCGATATACGGTGCCCGATCAGTTTTTGATGCACTTGGACCCGTCATTTTCTCGTCGTTGTATGCTGCTATGACGCAACAATCGACTAAGTCCCAGGCACTCCCGTACTTTGTGGCTGCATTTATCTATTTTGTCGGGATTGGAGTAGCTCTGTCGTTACCAGTTGGCAAACCATCCTCTCCCCGGAATATCGTTGCTGTCCCTGCGCCACTACCGTCACAAACATGCGGTGATTCTCCATCTACGTCCGCCTTCTACTTTGATACCGACGATGATGAAACAGACCAAGGTAACATGTATGCAAGTGGTGCAAACTACAATGATGACGAAAAGTATCTAGTGGAGCCGTTACTGGGCAACACCTCCAACGACAGGACGTGTTCATGCTGAAGTTAAAGAAATGCTACATGAGTCGATAACTTGATTGTATACTTTGCACCTTTTCAAGACCATTGCAGCAGGTGTTGTGCTTCAAATTTCACAGACCCATTACTTGCACACGTGTTTGGACGCTCCAAACTCATTATTTGGTATGGACTCCTTTCATGGTTTGTGGTATTGGATCGTGCAATATACCAAGATATATTCCGTAGCTCATGAATTGACGCTCTTCAGCGAGGTTTTAACAAGCGTTATGCATGAAGCTCCACCAGCATACACGTCAATAGCCGACGATAAGTAAGTGCAGGACGGTCACCATTTTTCTTCAAGTGCTTGGATGATCTAGAATATTAGCAGCAACTATTGCAACACAGAGAAAGCAATTGTAAGCAAAAAAACATGAGTAGCATTTGCCTACATGTTATTGTCAGATAGGCTTCGTATCAAAAGATGGTGTTTAGCACCCAAATGTTGACTGCAACTTGCAAAGTCTGCTCTCTTTTTATTCAGCGCTCACGACGCCTTTTCCATCAAATGAATCGGCTTTAAAATGGAAAGTTTATTCGTCTCGACAATGTTTCCATTCATCACCATTTCGTCCAAGATAAAGTGCGCTTTTTCCAGGTTAAACATAATCTATACATCAAATAAAACACAGAAGAGAAAAAGGTACAAAATTCACGTCACCAACCCGTACATGAAACACACCAAAACACCAATGTTACGTACATCAAGTTCACACTACACAAACCACATCAAAACAACCAATCAACAATAAGACACATGAACTTAAGACGAACCTAAGAGTCGTCCATTATCACGTACTACACTTTCAAAGTACTTGTCCATGGTCTCGACCAGTGCATGAATAAACTCTAGAATACCCAGTTCATTCTATTTTCATAGCAAATCAATATTAATAGTAAGGTCTACCAACTCATTGGATATCTCTAGAAGCTCAAAGATCTCTCGACGCACCTCCGAGTCGTCGTCTTTCACGCCAACAATGAAAAAAAGCGACGCATATCGTCTGTAAATGACTTTATAACCACGATACTCGACAAATGAGCACTATCATTTAGACACAGATACAACATAATGTCATTAAAAAGAGGGAAGAAGGAGAGAAAGAAAGAGCGAGGACGTACCTGCGTCTCATTGCGACCGAGACATTTACGAATAATTTCAGCTTCAAGGGCCACACGTTCTTGAATAGAAAGAAAGTCATAGTATTGAGCTAATCGTGTCTGACCTTGCTTGTTTACCATCAATACGAATTCAATCATGATTGACGAGAGAGGAGGGAGAGGGGATTCAGGAAGTGCCGGTATCTGGCCATGGTGTCGTGTTTCGTGTGGTATACGTCATATAAGGAGGGCTAGTTTGTGGTGTGCATCACACGATATAGGCAAATAAGTTGAAGTTACTTACTTTGTAATATAACAAGAAAAGTATTTATTTACTTTTATTATTGCAATATTGCAAATATGGTTTTCGCTAAAAGAGATAAAAAGGTCCATCAAAAAATACTGTCCAGATTATTACGTTAAGTAGATCATACAAAGATAAAGTATCATTAGCCATCCAAAATTCGTCGTAAGCTCCACTGTTCCTTCACTACTAACATACCATTATCATGTTCAACCTCCAAAACCTGACAGTCCTGTCTTTCTTCCTGTGCGTTGTCGAGGATCTCGAGGTTTACCACGTCCTGGTCCACCATTAATTGGACGAGAAGCAGTGACAGCATATCGTCCTGTAACCTCTTGTGAAGTGGAATGGAAAGCTGGAGCTAAGCCATGGATATTCAAATACCCTGGAGCTGGTTCTGGAGGTGCATTCACTGCTACGGGTCTTCCTCCACGTTGCATCGTCATCATATCCATGGATGAAGCTTGCCCATATCCATCAGATGGAGGTCCTGATGACATTGGTGCTCCTCGCCCCCGTCCACGAGTGCCACGGCCTCCTCGCTGAACACCTCGCCGGCCTTCGCGTTGCTTGTCATTTCCTCGTCCTCTGCCTTTCCGACCCTTAGCCAAAACGCCGTAAGGTGGCTGAGAATCTAGTGGCTCCATCTGACTCACATCATATTGTTGTGGCGGCCCTTGACGTTGATGCTGAGCATTTCTCGATGCACCTGTAATCGAGTGACTCCTTGATGTTCCCTCTGGTCGCTCCATTGGCTGCAATGTGAGTAAATTGCACTGTGGGCTTTCCACATGAACAATGCACTGCTTGTCATACACGTGGTCCAACAGTGCTGACCAAGGCTTCGAGGATCGCAGAGTATTCTCCTTACCGATCACGTAACACGCAAACTTGGCTCGAGTAAGTGCTACATTCATTCGCCGGATATCGTTCAAGAAACCAACGCCAGCTTTCGGATCAGCTCGAACGGTGGACACTGGAAGGCAGTCAACATCATTCAATAAGCAACATCCACTTCAACAAAACATTTGCAGAACAACGTACGAATAATAATGTCTTTTTCGCGTCCTTGAAAACCGTCAATAGTATTGATCTCGACCTCTTGCTCATAGTGCTTGCCCAACGCACGGCGGAAACGATTCCTTAGCTCCTCCATTTGCTGGCTATAAGGTGTAATCATACCGACCTTCCCAGTGATAGAATCCGGAGGACAGGAATTCTTCAGAGTGAGGTATAAATTCACTGCCAGTTCAGCTTCACCGACATTCATGCGTGACACTGATTTGGTGGAATTTTCACGACTGCTGAGCAGGTTCCAAAACACCAGTGGCATGAATGCTGAGCCAAGACTGTGGTACGGCTTGACGTATGCACCACCCTTCACATTATCTCCGTCTTGAAGCTTTCCGTCATAAAAGTAATTTCTTGGAAATTCTGAAATCATCGGGTGACTAAGCATTTGATGATCAAACAAAACGTAAGTAAGTCAACAGCTCACACAATACGCAATTTATAGGGCTCATACCATCGGTATTGCGTTCGTAGCATGTGCACGGGATGTTCACAGCTTTCCAATCGCTCAAATAAACTCCGCTCATACAACGAATGACCACTGTTACTGGAAAAGACAGTAGCTGAGAGTTGCTGCGGGTCGCCAACTAACACGCATTGTTTGCTCCCAAATCTAGTATTTGGAGCAAGAAGAATATGTCAACGTGTGAGGTGTGTTCGTTAGGCAAACGTGAATAGCTAATTGTGGTTCGTAAGTATAATACGTACTTCATCGGGATTATGGTAGAGAGTTCAACAGCTTGAGCTGCTTCATCCACGACCAACACGTCATATCGCGCACTCGCATCCAGTGCAGCGACACCTGCACTGCTCAATGTGGTGAACACAATATGAGCTGTATCCAGGAACGAAACTTCTAATGACTGCCGTGTTGATTGCGACAACTTTCCTCTCATCTCACAGACTGCTTGTCGAGCAAATTCGTGCCGCTGTAACTCCAGTTTGACCTGATCGAGCAGCAGAAATGCTGTCAGCCACGTGATATTTGGCAAAGAGCACAAATACGTACCTCAGCAAGCTTTTCCAAACACCCATTGATCCGCTGAGCCATAGCCACATAAGGCTGAAACCGAGAGTAGTCAATGGAGTCCCACTCTTTCGTCTCCTTTAGATCGATATCTGATACTGCCGGTAGGGGTATACGCGGAGACTGAGGCATAATAATAGTCGGAGACGACGGGCGGTGCTGATCATCAGAAAGATCAGTCAGCGGTAGTGACAATGGAGGAGGTGGAGGCGGTGGCGAAGTCGGAGGCGGAGGCGGTGATGATATCGGAGGCAGAGGCGGTGATGACGGGAATGGATCATGGGGTGAGTCGATTGTCTCGTGATATTGGCTCGGGTTTGTTTCTTTTCGAATAAACGACAATCTTCCAGCCTGTTCATGAGCTTCAATAGTTGGTTCTTGGTCCGGCAACGATTTGCAGTGATCAGGCGTATCGTCGGTTTCATCATCATCGATTTCAATAGGTTCGCTCGCTGTCGACCCTATCCATTCTTCAGCTTTTTCGGAGGCAGGTATCTCATCACTTGTTTGCGAATGAGATGCAACAGGGAATGGCTCATCATGCTCTTCCTGATCTTCGGTTTTGTCATTGCTTGCTCCAACCGGAAGCGGTTCATCTTCTTCAGAGTTGCTGCCATCATCCAAAAATGCGTTTAATGCTTGTCCACTTGCTTGGGCATTAAACGTTTTCTGTTCGTCCCAAGCAGGTGGTGGGGCCCCAAATGAAGTAGGAAATTCCTCGTCCTCTTCTTCTTCTTCCAGCTCATCAGCATTGTCTTCTTCACCTTCAAAGGTACCAGCGCTGTCTTTGCCTCCTAGAGATGAAAGATCACTAGTACATCCAGGGTCAGGAGGGGACGGAGGAGGCGGAGGAGAATCCGGATAGGCTGTTGGTGCCGGCAAAGACGATGGTGGCACATGGTCATCAGGGGAAGCAACACGTAAATCTAGCGGCGGCGGGAGATGAGGAGATTGTAGCGCTTTGGCCGTAGCAACCAAAGACGCTGCAGTCTTATTTTGCTGTGCTTCCGCTTCGGCAATCTCTTGTAACGCTTTACAAGGGTCGTGCTCGATCCATGCAACAATATTCCGCAATTGATTGCGCAAAACAACCGAATCGTGCTCAACCTATAATATTATAATAGAATATTCTGAACATCAATGACGATCACACCGAAACTCAACTTGTTTTCACGTACCACCATCAGCTCGTGCCGCAAGCGACCAATTTGGCCCTCAAGAATATCGAGTGGTTGGCTGCAAATTTGATCGACTTGATTATCCAAACCAACGCTTTGCACATTTGCACTCTACATTAGAAGACACAAAAGAGTTAGACGTACTATAACCATAGATTGCTGTTTGCTGATGTAGCAAAAAAACGTACCAAGCCTCGTCCAACGCGAACAATTTTAGGAAAGTACCGTCGCCCTTCGCCATCACAGAAACCTTCTTCAATCACCTTGCTAACAATATTGTCAACTGCAGCATTGGATGGTGCAGTGACTAAAATATGAGGCTTTTCATTTTTCACCTGAGCCCATGCTTTTGCTGTCTCGTTATCCGGACGACACGCCACATCCAATACAGCATTGTAATACCGATTATACTCGCGCAAGTGTAATGAGTTGAGCAGACCTTTGAGCGTTGTGGTTTTTCCTGTGCCTGGAGGACCCTTTATCAGAGTGAACCCCTCTGATGTTGCTGCAGCTGTGATGGCTTCTCGCTGCGATTCGTTGAAAGTTCTTGAAAGCCATTGGACATATTTTAGACCCAGCGAATCAAGCTGCATAGTTCCTTGCTTGTATTCGCCTGACAACAGCAACGGCAATAGCCCGTAATGACTACAATCACAAAGCGCACGGAACTCGCGAACACTGGTTACCAGATTGTTGAGCTTAAAGAGGTAGATGTTTTCTTCTTTCTCCAGTGCACCCAACGCTGACTTTAATATTGTCATGGTCAGCCCCTCTTTTGACGCTCTCTGAGTTGACACAATTGCCAGAAATCCTACAAGAGGAATATCTGGCTCGGCTTTCCCGTTCGCTTCACTTTTCAAGCTATGCTCACCTTTAGACGAAGCCAGAGCTTTACGAAAGTAGTCTGGGTCGGGAGACATGAGCACCAAATCGTTCATGAACAAGTCAGAGAGTTGATTACGCCGCATGCCAGAACCATTTTGCTTTTTCGAGTCCACACCCGAAAAAGCACGAATCTTGCAGCTCTTCGATATGAACGTGGCTCCAAAACCCTTCACAGTGACCAGTGTTGGGCTAGGATGGTCCGTTGTCACAGCATTGATCGTTTGTGCTTGCACTTCTTCAAGTGCCAGTGGTTTCCACACTGACAAGTAGTGCTCGTATGAGCGAAACTTACTCGGTACTTTTCCAACCTCAACCTCGCCTTCCTCTGAGCCTTCATTTGCCGTATGATACGAATGATTAGTCTGCATTTCTCGCTTCAATGCTTCAAGAAACTTCCACTCTAGAATCTCATCGAAAAAGTTGTCCAGTGTGTAGTTCGACTGCACGCTACTGTACGATACCGTCGTCTTTTGAGGTCTGCGATCAGCCTTTACTTGCATACTGGCACGTTTTTGCTGCTTCACCGGTCGTAGATGTGCCTCCGACACCTCGTCCTTAACCTTCATCAAAAGTTGTGGTACCTTTTGATCCCGCTTTGTTTCTGATTTCACTGCAGCTGTAGCACGTTTCCCAGCTACTACAGCCGTCCGTTTCCCCTTGGCTTGAGCTGGTACTTGTAATGCCATAGGCAGCCTTTTTAACGTCCGTTTAACTTTCTTGACCCTTTTCAAATTAGCTCGAGAGCCAGGGCTTTTCTTCTCCTGGTCCGAGCTCTCACTATCAATGATCTTCCTCTTCTTCACTCGACGTTTCGCTATTTTCTTTCCTTTCGATGAGATAAAGTCCACAAAGTTTCTATCTGCTTCTTCATCAGGTTTCCACTCGTTCTCTGACTCATCTACAGCCTATAACCAATACAAGTAAAGAGAGAACAAGCACACAAAAGAAGGAATTACAAGGTGATCGTTTAGTACACACAAAGACTCAAATGTCTTCTTTACGAAGCGTTTAAGTTGCTGGAACGGACCTGACGGACGTGTTGGGCATGTTGTGCAATCAATTTCGACATACGTGGGGCACGAGCACCGGAAGCGGCTTCTAATCGCGTCGAACGCCGCATCTTGACCGACTTTCGGACAGAATAAAGCAAGGAAAAGGCGATAGATGTTTACAATGAAGGCCCTTCTTCTAGAGAGGTTTATGTGGCTCACAGAGCACTTATAGATACAAGACCAATGAGAGGATTTGGATACGAATCTCTTCTATCCGTTGCTATGCTGTGTATGGACGACGGTAGGCTGCTGTTTTCTTGACGCGTGCGGACTCGACGACGCAAATGAGCTAATGACCGCAAGATGTTACATTTATTTATGCGTTCCAAACAAAATCTAATTTATGTCTTAAGTTGCGTAGTTGAGGAGCGAATGATTCTAAATTAGATCGCTGCCAAAAGTTGCTGATTGTATATACGAGTCACCTTCAAGTGACCAAATCAATGCTGTATAAATTCGAGAAATCTACATCATGGATGGCTACATATAAGTAACATCATAGATGGCTACAAGTGCTCAGCGAGACTGTCTTCGAATGCTAATTGCAATTCCATCGTCATTGGACTCTTCCGCTCCATTGCCATTTGGCAATTGCATCCCGTTCATGCGGCCTTTCAATTTCTTGCTCACTTGTTCTTGTTTGATCGTGCGAAGATAATTCGGTGACTTGAGAAATTTATTGGGTGTGCGAGCACCAGTGACCCACGGATGTGCCAATGCCTGATCTGCAGAGTATCGATCGGTCGAATCCACCTCTGTCAAACAGAGAAAAGTGAGTGAGTGCGTACAAGTTATTGACGCTACAAAAGGTTGTGCTACTTACCAAGCAATTGCCGAAGTAAATCTTTTGCAGTCTCTGATAAACCGCTAGCCCATCGAGGAAAACGAAGACAAAACTTTGCCTGCATAAAACACAGCCCGATGCGTCAATTGTCGACATCGACGTGGTGGTTTTTGCCCGCTAGCGTCGACTTCATGTACCTGAGCTGCCTTTTCGTTGGCGATTTTGCCGCCATCATCACCAAAGGGTAGGCAACCACAGAGCAAAACGTAGACGATGATTCCGAGCGCCCACATGTCTACAGACATAGAGTAAGCCTGACGCTGGAGCATTTCAGGGGCGAGATAACCTCTTGTTCCTAGAAACGAAGCCGTCTTGTCATCTGCGTCCAGCAACTTTGCAAGACCAAAGTCAATGATTTTCACATCAGCTCCACGTGACTTGCTTGTCAACATGAGATTCTCTAGCACAAGCATAGTTAGCAACGCCGACAGATGCAATGGCTTCCACGCCTATACAGTCTCGCACCTGGCTTGAGATCGCGGTGAATGATTCCACGTGCGTGCAGGTAGGCAACCGCCGATGTAATCTGTCGAACAATTGTGCTTGCTTCAACCTCCGACAACGTCCCCCTATCGACGACATAATCAAACAGCTCACCGCCACCCATATACTCTGTCACCTGCATCAGCACATCCACCATTTAGATAACTTACAGCAACATAACAAAGCAAGTATTCTCCGCACCATGCAGATCTTCGAATCTGACAAGAACACGTCTTCAATCTGGATAATGTTTGGGTGTCTCAGCGACTGGAGCACTTGAATCTCAACCTACACCACAAGAAGCAAGCAAACACGTTAAATATCCAGCATCATCAAAACCAAAGCAAAAGTGTTGTTCTACGTTGAAGATTAAACGTGACGCACTTGAAATTGCTCCATGACTACATTGTGTTCTCTCTCGACTGCACGTCGATCAATAATCTTGCAAGCCCGTACAATACCTGTACGACGTTCACGACACTTGTACACGACCGAAGTTCCTCCATGTCCTGTATAAATGTCACAGCACAGTCACTTACATATCTCTCTAAATGCCTTCCAGCTGCAGGCGACGTACCAATCTCGTCCAGCATTTCATACTTGGCTTCCATCCTCCCACTGCTGTACGACGGGCCTTGCAGCTTAATGAGCTGTTACCAAACATCATTAGTATTAGGCAACTGAAGCTGCAATAGCACCATCAACTGCTGCAATCGACATCGTACCTGTGGTGCTGACATTACCGGTCTGGAGCCAACGACGTGTACGTTTAGGTCGTGCTTGAAACCATTGGGACGCTGCTTGCCTGGCTGTGGTAAATTGTCTTCTCGACTTGGATTTGCTCCATAGCACCACGATTGTGAAGCTCCCATTGCGTTTGCTTCCTATACTTGACCTTGTGCCAACTGTCAACTGAATCTCACGACGTCGCAGATTCCGTTTTAGATCCCGAAACACGAAAATGATCGATCGGATTTGACGGGAGACTAGCAACACGTCATTCCGCCTTGTATGATCTGCTAGAAATTTCTCCGAGCAATGCAGTAATGGGTACTAAGAAATATAGAATAGTTTATAGTTAGCAGAGCGCGAGCCATACAGTATGCCAGATAGTGCAAGCTGACAATCATCCCTTCAAAATGACTTGTTTTTGGTATACAAACAAACGTACCAAGAACAAGCCAATTTTTTGCTACGTGTTGCACCCTGTTGCATTATCATTCAAGGAACAAGCAAAGAATCTTGCCGAGAACTCCTGATGATTCCAGTGCTTCCAAGTCGACCCTACTTAACTTAGAGTTTCTTTGGGTGAATCTCTACCCCTGACGTTTCGTTCGGTGTGTAACAAAGATACGCCCAGTTGGTGACAAGATTATTTGCTTGACGATGTAACGCTTGCAACGAAATGATACCCTTTGCCAGAGTGATGGTCCTTCAATGTTGCAAAACACATGGCGACACGACCACTGCAAGAAAGTGTGACGTGACCCCTAAGTGGCTCCAAGATCGTCAGGCATTTTATAGTCACATTAAAATGAGCCTTTGTGTAAGCTTGCATCGCCAGACCAGCTACTGACGTCTATTTTGCTGTGTTCTTGTACGATGCCTGTAAGTTTGTTGCCAAAGTAGCGCGTTTCGAGCCACTGCTCAACACGTCAGGTCTTCCGTTGAGATGGACTTGCACGTTGAATGTACACAGTACCAAGGTATGAAGGATGGACTCTATTCTTCTTGTTAGTGATGATGAGTACTGCATGGCAGTTTACCACTCTGAGACTGTGTAGTCCTTCAGAAAGTGGCCAAAGAGAGGTTTATCGGTGTTTCCGTCTTGATACAGAGCAAAAATCGGGTCTAATACACGAGCAGCGGCATCGATCTCATCGAGAGGCGTCTGGAAGTTATGCGTATCTGCAATACGAACAGCTTTATCGCGCGGATTCTCGTCATTGATCCAGCCCTGGATTGTTCGCAAGAGCGCAACAAAATGAGATTCAGGTACACGACTAATTCAGATAGAATAATATGCTCTTACCGTGTCAACACTGTTCATGTAGATTCCTTTGCGCACTAGGTCTGCGGCACAAGTTCTCGTCATCATGTTTGCTGCTGCCTTGGCCATGTTTGTGTGCGGGTGATTCGGCGTCTTACTTCTGTAGAACTTACCTTCCATGGCACTGACGTTGATGATAAAGCGGCGCGCATTCGGGCTCTATGTACGGAAGTAGACGATAGCAGTAAGAATCACATGTAACGGATGCATCAAAGCAACCATCAATAGAGGCCGCTACTAACCTTTTCAAGAAGAGGAATGGCACGCTTGTTGAGGATGAATGGTGCCATGGTATTAATCGCAAACACTTCCACCAGCTCTGTAATCACACACGCGTAATCAATGAACTCATAAACCATGCCAGTGCACGACATGCACACACTTACCCATGGTCTCGATCTGGTTGATTTTTTGGACCCACGAGTTCGAAGTACGCAGGTCCACCTGCTGCTGGTTATTATCAACTTGACCCTTGGGAAACAGAACCTCCGTTTCTTCAGAGTACTCATCCTCAGTAACTAGAGGCATTTGTGCCAGGCGCACAGATGCAGATGTGGAAACAGATGCAGCAACGATCATTGTTGAAGAGCCACCGTTCGTGACAGCGACATTGCCACTTTCTATATTCGCCACAGCAGCACTGCCAAAAAGATTCGTATTGCCCCGCAGAATTTGGTTAACGTGAGTCATATTCTCCGGAACAGGCGCTATCTCACACTTGATCAGATGCTTGTAATAATGGACAGGTCGCCGAATAGTTTGCGTCGCGTTGTTGATCAAGATGTCTAAGCTTCCAAACGCTTCCTCAATATGGTCCATAAATTTATCAAAGACACCCAAGTCACGAAAGTCCATGCCATAAATTTGCAGTCGGTCTTTCCAGGCATCAAAATCCTTCTCTTTGGCGTACCGGAACGCTGCATCTTTTGGAAACCGCGTGGTTGCTACAACCATCGCCCCACTACGCAGTAACTTTAACGTAATCTCATATCCGATCTTCACTCGTGCACCAGTGACAATAGCAATATGTCCCCACAGATCAGCGTTCTGCAGACGTTTTTTGTAGTTGAGCTCTGCACACGACGGACACATTCGATCGTAGAAATGGTGCAGCTTCCGAAATCTGATCTTGCACGTATAACACGCTCGATAATAATGCAATTGACCAATTTTCTGCCTCTCGATATCCTTCAACTTTTCCCCATTTTCCTTCAGCAGCAAAGGTTCATCCGTCTCTGCGACGCCGTCCGGGACAGTCGCAAGCAGTGGATTCTGCGTCTGCAGCGCCGCCAATCGCGCGAGTCTCTCCGCACGTAGCTTCGTGTTATTTACATACTGCTGATCCAGCGCCTTCTTCCTCGCTTGCTCCACTTTCTTTGCTCGCTTATGCTCCTGACGCAAATTGTCACTGGCTGCCGAATTCCCATGATAAAATTTGGCACGCAAGTCCGACATGAGAGGGATCAGTACCGTCCGTAGAAGCTTGAAGCGAGGTGACGACACAAACAGCTGGTGTGTCTCTTCATCATGCAACTTCTGTAACGTCGCCACGCACGCCACGAGCTCCGAGTCTGTCACGTCCATTGCAAATGTAACGTACCCAAAAGGTACGTAAAAGTACCCAAAAAGGTACCTAAAAAGTGCCCAAAAGTTACGTGATGTTTCATTCCGTTCCCGCCAAAAATGGAGCACGAGCATGCGGCAAGTTTGACAGCACGTGCCGTTAAAAAGGCGGTTCCAGATCGTGCAATATTGACGAGAGATGCGCGAAAGACAATCAATTCGGCTGCTAGTGTGTTTACGCTGTATTTGGCGTCGATGTAAGTCATTGATAGCGTGAAGAAGTACAGACTCACAGGGTTTACTAACTGATATTGGTCTTGTGGACTGCAGCGCACACGAGACGTCGGTAGCTAACAAGCGTAGTACGATCACATTGAATGATGTGCTACAGACGCTACGGGATGCAGATTTTGAGCACTTTATTGAGCCAATTGAGGCATGTCTGCAAGGTGAGCGACGCTTTGGGAAGGAAAGTGTGGGTGCGTTTTTCTTACTAGATCTTGCAATTGCAGAGGCAAAGGCTGAGACAACGAGAAAGAAGAATCAGAAGGTGATAGCTGAGGAGGAGGAAGGAGCTGAGACAACGGGTGAAGTTGCAGAGCAACTTGATGAAGTGGCTATTGACACAAACGAGGAGGACGCTGATGAAGATGAAGACATGATGTCAGCGGACGAGCCATTGGACGCTGATGGAGATGAGAATACAGAGGTAAAGAGGATGGAAGATGATGGCTCGGCGGAAGTAATGGAGTCATCATAAGTCTTAGGATGTACAACGCTGAAACATTCGTCAAGCTCAACAAGATCAGTCTATTCCATGGCTATATCTTCAGTGGCTTCTACCTGGACGCCCCCAATGATTCCCCTGCGCTTGTCTGCATGTTCCAGCACGGCCAAGCATGATGTGGAAATAGCGTCAAGTGCCTGGCCATACTTGAGTCCAGACAGAAGCCCAATGTTAATGACGTCGTAGGGCGAGCGGAGCAAGATATCGCGCGTCGCACCACTGGAAAACACCAGATTTTTGCCGCCTGTGAGACGGACCAAGTTGCTGGCGTTGGAAAAGAAGTATCGTCGCCCAGCTGTATCGCCCAGACACGGCGTGTATGTAATCTCAAAGTGAATATCACGTTTAATAGCAGCCGTAACCTGTACATTGCACCCGAAGCACAACACCGTATCAACATTAGCGACAACAGGATTACACAAGACGCAAAATACGCTGAATAAGAAAAGAGCTGCTCGCACCCATGGACGCTTAATCTGGAATGGCAGTCGGTTCGTCACATCAAATGTGATTAGATCAATGTCGGCCTGCTCGCATAGGTATTGGAACACCTTGGGCGTCGCTGCTTCAGCAGCTACGACATCATATCCCTTGACTAGATCCAATGCAATCTGTGTAAAGCATAACCACACACAGCAGTGAGCTGATACTCAGCAACAATTGCATTCACTAGCAACAACTCACCAGCTTTTGTGCATCCACTACTTCTTCCAGCTTAAGTGTAATGCGTTTACGCTGTCTTGGCAACTCCTTCTTGTCACCTGTGCTCGCGTCCTTCAGCTGCAATCCATTACCGACTGCAGCCGTGTAAAGCTTTGCCTTCTTAGCAACTTTACCATTCTTGTCTTTTTGCGCAACTTGTGGTAGACTCGATAAAGTCGTCGCTGGTTTGGGCATTTCAGAACCTTCACAGTCCACATTGATACACACACTCGCGTAGCCCACTGCAAAGCAATAGCATCATCAATCGATCATCCAGACATATCAACCAATCAATATGCATTGTATCAATCACTTTCTACGTCACTTACATCGTTGTAGCTCGCCCGCCGACACTCGAGCGGTTGCGCGTACATTCAAGTCCACATACATGGGAATGAATGGGCTGATGCATTATAATCGGTGTCACGATGTAAATTCGGTGACGAAGCTATTTCTAACCCCGTTGTCGTGTCTATTGCCACCATTCCGTAAAAACTACCTTCTATACACCGTAATTACGAGAAGGTCTGTGCGCCAGTCGATTAGATGGAGCTTCTCGACGTCGCCCTATTCGAAGAGACTCGTATTACTGGAAACAATGGCTGATCAATCTGTCGAGGACAAGAACTTGGAGCTTGCTGCTTTGCGCAAGAAGCGCACGTTCCGCAAATTCAGCTACCGTGGTGTTGACCTAGACAAGCTATTGGACTTGAACCATGAGGAGCTCATGGACCTGGTGAACGCCCGTGCTCGTCGTCGTTTTTCGCGTGGTCTCAAGCGTAAGCCAATGGCTCTGATTAAGCGTCTGCGCAAAGCCAAGGCTGCTGCTAGACCCATGGAGCGCCCTGAGGGTATCAAGACCCACTTGCGTAACATGATCATTGTCCCGGAGATGATTGGCTCGGTGGTCGGTGTGTACAATGGCAAGGAGTTTAACGGCATTGAAATCAAGGTATGTCTCCAGAAATTGTCGTGTGCTCTCGGGGGGTGTGCTGGCTTATAACCCGAAGAGTGGTGTGCCATTGTAATTGGTACACTCGGCTGCCATCCCCTTAGTCGACGTTCTGTGTAAGGGGCGACCCAGAGAAGCACTGTTGATGTTATATTATACGATACGATGTCCCTTTGTCGTGATATGATAAAGGGAGATGAAATTGTAATGGACTGACAATCTTTATATGTTGTATGTGTGATAGCCTGAGATGATTGGCCACTACCTGGGTGAGTTTGCCATCTCTTACAAGCCGGTGACCCACGGTCGCCCTGGTATCGGTGCCACGAACTCGTCACGTTTCATCCCGCTCAAGTAGAGCAATTGAAAGGTGCGATGCAAGTGGTGACAGAGTTTTTTGAATTTGCTGCTTGCTCCCTCTGGGTTGAGCCATTGTAATACATTCTTCTAGCTGGAGAGTCTTCCGGAAGACTATAAGTGATGTGTCGTGTGAGTTTACTTTTGTCTTTATCTGTGCTTTTTGAAATATTGTAGATCGGGAGCTAGTGGTTGCAATAGAAGAGGGACGGGTGCCAATGAAGAAAAATCGCAAGTGCCAACGATTCAATGGTGGAAATTAATCTTTCTGATATTTGCACGTCAGTCTGAGGCACCCAAATCTCTGAAGCAGCTCCCGGTCAGTCCGCTTAACGCAGACCCCTTTGTATGTTATGGTTTGTTTTGTCTGTTTGCCAATGATGACTAGTGTTCTTCTGATGATGGTTGATGAAAATGCCATATAATTCCAATTGATCCTACTGAAGGCAAACAGACAAGCAAGCATAGGTAGTTGAGAGTAGAAATGATCCAAAGATTAATAGACTTCCTTACAGAGGACCACACTATAGGCGATAATGTTTTGCTCATATCATTTTTTAGATAAGCGTAAATAACCAAAGCTCTAGTATACTTTCATCTAATTTCACTCGACAGCAAAGAGTTTGTATAAGCTACCTCGACCCAAAGATTAGTCATTCCTTACTTGCAAGCTTTCGTCCATACTTATCTGTCCTGGCACAGGTAACGAAAAAGACCCGCTGCTACCTGCTGCGCTAAGCATTATGTGTCCGTCAGACGCACTCACCTCAGTATTCTAGATTTGTGACGGCTGTGGCTCTCTATGTAGTGGCTATTGTTCGATGAATACGAGCATGCTCCAGCTGACGACAAAACTATCTGCAAAAATATGTTAGCAATTTAACTCTATGGTGACCTATTTTTTATCAAATTGAAGCACGCCAAATGGGTGGGTTCTACAAGTCACCGCTATTTGGTCCTTAACCCGTGGAGCTCTAGAGTCTTGGCTTTGTTTTTGACCTTGAACAACATTAATCAGGGTCGAGCCTGAAAAGCTCTGCGGGTCAAGTTTGGTATCTAATCAACCCACGTACCACTTAGCATACACGCTTTAAGTGACGTATTTTCATTCAATCAGCGTGCTCAACCCGTTTCGTAGCTGCCCACCCACCCTTGAGTATCACTGATAAATTGCTCGCTTGGTCGTGCCCAAGCGTCGAGTACGTCGCTGTTTCTCTCTATACACATGCATATTCTTCATAACTGACTATTACCATTATCTTCTCCGTTCATCTACTATGCCGCCCATATATTTTTTGCCTTTGAATTCAGCGTATTCGAGACTGGAGCAAGTGCGACGCCGAGAGCAGCGACGCCTGCGTCTGGACCACGCTGGAAGAAAGCTGGGAAGACGCGGACAAGTCCGAGACGGACATGGTGGCAGAAAAGATTGACTCAATTACAGAGATCCCTCTAAAGCGCGCAGACGCAATGTCGGGGCTGGAGGAGACGACGGTGCGTAAGAAGAAGCTCACAAGTGTCGTATGGGAGACATTTACGCCCACGTCAAGCAGCGGTCTGCGTGATGGCGTGGTTGATTCAGCAAAGTGTTCGGTGTGCAATAAGGTATTTAGTACGAGACATGGTACATCGTCCATGATGCGACATGCCAAGCGGCACAATGAGCTCCCTACTGGTACGCCCATGGGCAAGAAAGGCAAGAAGAGTACAAATGGAGCGACAATCAATGGAAAAGATGGAATGGTGGTGTCAACTGGTAAGAAGAACGCAGTTGCAAAGAAGGAAGCAAAAGTGGTCGTACAGTTGGACGAAAATGCAGCAGGTAAGGGATGGAGGATTGGTTTGCAACTTGAGACGGGGTAATTGACGCCATGTGACTGTAGCAGGCATGAAGCGCCAGAGGTTGCGGAATTTAAGTAGTGCGCTCATTGAGTGGATTGTAGAAGACCAGCAGGATTTGAGTGTAGTACAGCACGAAAAGTTCCTGGACGTCTTGGCTGCTGCGGGTATTAAAGCTGTCATTCCACCCCTGGATGCATTGCAGAAGGCAATGGAGCGCAAATACTATGCGCTGTTTACACGCGTGGGTGAGTATATAAATCGATCTGCGGTTGGACGCATCACGTTTTCATGTGATACGTGGTCAGGGTCAGTGTACAAAGGATATATGGCCATCTATTTGCACTGGATCAATGCCGAATGGGAGTATAAAACCATCCAAGTTGGTCTGGAAAGTTGTTCACCGGAGTTTAACGCGTATTTCATGTCGGACTTGCTATTCAATGTGCTTCAAAACAACTGGTGCATCGGCAATAAACTGCTCTGTGGTGTGACACCAATGAGCAATGAGTCAGGAGTGGGTATGGGCTTTCTTCGTGAAAAGATCAAAAGAATTATAGGATTAGATAACATTTCCCCGGACTGGAACGTGACATGCCTGGGTCATCTTATTCATGCGGGTGTGCTAGCGGCGCTCAAGGAGATTCGTCACGAGATCGTAAAGCTCCGCTCATTGCTATCGCTACTGAAGTCCACAACCGAAAGTCAAGAGCACTTTGCGCTGCGTACAACAGATGTGGGGCTGCAGTATCCAGACCAGCTTCCCAATATGGACTCACCAAAGAACTGGAAAACAACTATTACAATGATTTTGGAGAGCGCTAAGATCAAGGACACCATCAACGCTTTGTACGGTGACGCCTCTAATGGCATGAACGTTTTCCTGCTGGAGGAGACCGAGTGGGATCTGCTAGTATGGGTGGCTACCTTTCTGCGGAAGTGCATGCAGATGGCTACGTGCCAGAGTGACCAGAAACACATTTCGCTGAGCACCTCCATCAATGTCTGCAAGGCGATCGTGGGGCTGTGCGACGGCACAGCTGCATCAGCTTTAGACTTTACCGCGAGTGCCTTCACCAAGATTCAAACCGTGTGTTTGAAAGTAAAATCTAGCCTCGAGTCGTACCACACGGAGCACTCATCAGCTTACTTTCGACTGGCAAAAATCTTGGATCCGCGGTTTTCCAACGAGTCCGTTGACAAGTCTACCAAGAAAACATTTTTGCGAGAAATGCTGCGTACAAGTATGTACGATGCACTGTCCGATACAAGACTAGACGACGAACAAGCGCGACATGATGCCTCCACCGCGTACACGACGTTTGAAAAGCTGTTGGATATTGGAGAAGGTATACCGGATTACGCGATCGATGGTGATGAAGTCGACCGGTTCTTTGACGCAACTCTGATTCGTGACAAACGGTCCGACCCGTTTCTTTGGTGGAAGTCGAACGAAACACGATTTCCATCCTTGGCAAAACTTGCACGGGACATCCTGTCTATTCCTGCGACCGCCGTGCCCAGTGGTGCTGTGTTTACACAAGCAAACTATGCGCGTGCATTCAACGCAGACGTTTCGATGGAGACGACCAAGCTTTTGAAGTTCAATGAACTATCACGTGCATGGCAGATTGAACGCCAGAATTTCGGACGCAAACGACGTCGGGACTCTTTTGATTACTTGGACCCACCGCTAGAACCTCCAGCAAAATTGGCGTCATATGAAGAAAGTATTTAGGCTAAAAATGACAACAATGATCAAAAATTCAAGCGCCATTTATATTGCAATATTACAATTGTAAACCCATTTACATGGTCAAATTTGACACTAACTACTAAACCCTTAGCCAAGTGGTTACAACCTCATGACTACCCGATAGTCAAAGCTGACAAACATTCTCGGTAGCATTCACGACAAAAACTTCAACCTTTTCACTTTCGAATTTGCCTCCTATTGAGTATGACGACTAAGAACGTATTTATTGTAGCAGCAAAACGTACGCCTTTTGGCAGCTTTGGGGGCAAACTCAAGGATATGACAGCTACAGATTTATGTACGCACGCAGCCAAGGCGACACTCGCTGCCGCTAAACTGGACCCAGCACTTGTAGACGCTGTTCAAGTGGGCAACGTGGCTTCCACGTCACCAGACGGCGCGTATATCGCTCGCCACGTCCAATTAAAGGCTGGAATTCCACAGGAAAAGCCTGCCCTTACCATTAATCGGCTATGTGGTAGCGGTTTCCAGTCTGTCATCGGAGGAATGCACGAGATCTTGCTAGGGGAATCAGAGATTGTGCTTTGTGGTGGTGCTGAGAACATGTCGCAGAGTCCATTGGCAGTTTATGGTCACCAGGCACGGTTTGGTGTAAGCCTAGGGGCTGGAATGAATCTACAAGACACGTTGTGGTCGGCATTGACGGATTCGTACGTTCAGACGCCTATGGGCATGACAGCCGAGAAATTGGCAGAGAAATACAAGATCAGTCGTGAAGACTGTGATGCTTTTGGACTTCAGAGTCAGACACGGTGGGCGAAAGCACAAGAAGCAGGATGGTTTGATGCAGAAATGGCACCATTGGATGTCAAAGTGGGACGAAAAATGGAAGAATTTGCAGTGGATGAATCCCCACGTGTTGTAAATTTGGAGAAACTGGCCAAATTGAAGCCAGTGTTTAAGAAAGATGGAGTGGTGACTGCAGGCAATGCTTCTGGTATCTCGGATGGTGCTGGTACTGTGCTGCTGGCTTCGGAAGAAGCGGTGAAGAAGCACAATTTGACTCCGCTGGCACGTGTAGTGAGTTATCAGGTGTCCGGGGTCGACCCGACTATCATGGGCATTGGTCCTGTGCCCGCTATTTTGGGCTCTTTAAAGCGTGCGGGACTGAAGAAGTCGGACATTGATCTTTACGATATCAATGAAGCGTTTGCGGCGCAGTGGCTCGCTTGTGTGAAAGAGTTGGAACTTGACCCGGACATTGTGAATCTTAGTGGCGGTGCGATTGCTCTTGGGCACCCCCTTGGCGCCTCAGGCAGCCGCATTACGGCTCACCTTGCGCATACATTGAAGCGGACAGGAAAGAGATACGCGGTTGGATCAGCTTGTATTGGTGGGGGACAGGGCATTGCACTGGTACTCGAGAACGCGGCATAAGAGTTCTTGGACGAAGAAGAGCGAAGTAACTCGAAGGAACGACAAAGACAAATGATCAGTCTTCTTCTTGCAATAAGAAAAATACAACAAAAAACTCACGTCCGAATACCGAACAGCTTTAGTTTCATTGAATACATGGGATAAAGCAGTAGGGACCTAGACGGCGAATAAAGCTGAAATAATGCGAGTGCACAAGACGGTTGGAAGCTTGGATCAAGCCACTTATTATTTTACATGAGACTCTTCAATTGCTGGCAATCTTCTTATAACACTCTTTATGCTTGACGCTTTATCATGCAATTTGACACGGTTCTAACGGCTATTAAAATCATTTCCGTTGACGTCGCACCTCCATTTTCTTAGTCTCAATTCACGGCAAATTGTTGCCGTCAAAAGGCTTCGTTCTTTAGGAGCTTGTTTAGCATGTCGAGTGCTACTGCGGGTTGGTCCTGCGGCACCATGTGACCAGAGTTGAACACACGCAGGAACGTGAACTGGTTGTTGAACGATTGCACAACACCTGCATTCGTTCCGTCTGCCGTAATGTATGCAGTCTCAGGTGCTGCATTGAATCCACCCTTGCCCTTCCAGTCGAGAGCTAATGTCCACGCTTGATTACCGTACCAGTTACACATCAAATCGGCATCACCAGCATAAATGAGCACGCGCAGGTCATCATTGAGCAAGTCAGCCACGTATGTGTTGAACGGCTTGACCATGTCACCCGTCATGCCAAAGGCCATGTTTACTTTCATGTTGCATTCTTGCCAGGCACCCACGCGCTTCGAGTCAACACCGAGTGATTTGCGCACATTAGGAGCGTCCAAATACTCGGAGACGTACGACATGTCGTAGCACTTGGTTGGATCATCCATTCGAGTGCAAGGCATGCGAATATCGTATGGGTTGCGATTGGCCGACAATAGCGGTGCAAACAATTTCTCCATGCAGAACTCGCTTCCATCGAAGCACGCCGTCCTATTCTGTGGGCACTGCTGCAAGAGAGACTTGCAAACCGGCACAGCCGCTTTCATCTCATCCAGCTCGGTCACATCCACCAATGAGATATTGTAAGCATTGTGAATCGCCATGTCGATGGAGTGTGGCAGCTGGATAGAAGCTTGCGTCAGTCCGTTGCCAATAGCAATGCCCTTCAGGTTGATGTGCTTCGGCGTGCCAATGTTAACCTTATTCTTCTGCCACACGTAGTGCGCCGCTGCAGGTACATAGTGCCCACCGTAACTCTCACCAGTAATATAAAAGTCGCGACCGGCCAACTCGGGGTGCTTCTCGAAGAAACCCTGTAAGAAGTAGTAGATGTTCTCACCCACGTTGTCCTCGCTGTTGTCAGCATCGCGTTCGTCACCGTACGTGAATCCCACCGTCGTCGGTTGGTCTAGCCATACTACATTGCTCTCGTTTGTCCACGAGTACGGGTTGAGTTGTGTAGACAGATCCGGTAGCACGTGACACGGTCCATTCTCTGTCAGCAGTGCCATCATACTAGAACATCCAGGTCCTCCCGTAAGCCACAGCACGAGTGGGTCAGTGCTTGGTTGGCTGCGAGATTCAAAGTACCAATAAAAATAGTGGTCATCGACCTTATTGGGCAGCTTGACATATCCTGAATCTTGTGTCGTAAGTCCACAAAAGACGTCATCGTCTGCAGTCGTTATGTTCATCGACTTGTTGTGTATCGCTGCATGAGTTTGTATTTGAGATTCAGTGCTGGCGTTCTTGACAAGAGGGTTTACTATATACATAATAAAGAGGCTGATGGCACATAGTACGAGAATAAAAATGCCACCGCGTTTAACGTCTCTGCTATGAGCTTCTTCACGTCTCCAGATGCGCAGATGAAACTGCAGCGACGTCGAGCGAAGTCTCAGTGGTGTTGTTTCCGATGGCATGGAAAATTGTCGTGTGTAATTTGGTAAGAAATGAGTAAGAAGAGCAAGTTGTCACATTGTAGTATAGACAGACACAAAGACAGCACACACAGACAGACACACGAAGGTGCCGGAGGTCAGAGATGGGAGGGAGACTGAATTGATGCCAGACAATGGATGGACACTTGTATTCGGACAGCTACATTGCAATCAAAGACGGACAAACAACTTGTTTTTAATATGGTCTGAAAACCGTTACACATCTGACTTGGTAGATACGTTTTTTTTTCTTGTCCCCATTGTGTTTAATTTTTATAGATATCTTGTGCAGTTGGTAGAAAAAAACTGTACTGTGTCTAGTTCATTATTATAAAGGACAATCAATGGCTTTAGAGACAACCCCCTTGACGCAGACTTTTAACCTGCAGCATTATGAACACCAAGAGGCTCGAAACCGCAATTTCCGTCGTGTTTTAATCGTCGTCGTATCTTTGATTGGATTCAGTTTACTGGTCGTGTACGTTGGCGAGCCATTACTCCTAGGAGACACGAGAAACGCGGTGCCAGAAGGTGTGCCAGTACATACAAAGACTAAAGGCAACGACGTCTTTTGTGGACTTACGACACAAGATTCAGGATATGTCAAGCTGCCCAATAAGGTCGATGACCACTATTTTTATTGGTACTTTGAATCTCGCAGCCAACCAAGCACTGACCCACTCGTGCTGTGGCTTACGGGAGGACCTGGATGTTCTAGTATGATGGCACTGCTGACAGAGAATGGACCGTGTCACGTGCTACCGGATCTGTCTACACAACTGAACCCGTACTCGTGGACAAACGAGAGCAATGTAGTATGGCTAGACCAACCGACGACGGTGGGATTCACGTACGGTGACGAACGCGATGCTGACAACAGCGAGGACAACGTGGGTGAGAACATCTACTACTTCTTACAGGGTTTCTTCGAGAAGCACCCCGAGTTGGCCGGTCGCGACTTTTATATTACTGGTGAGAGTTATGGCGGGCACTATGTACCTGCAGCGGCGCACTACGTTTGGCAGAAGAATAAGGTTAACATTGGCACGCCGAAGTACATCAACCTGAAGGGCATTGCTATTGGCAACGGACTGACGCAAGCTTCTATCCAGTTGCCACACTCCATCGACATGGCGATTCACAATGCTTACAATATCTCATTGGTGGATGTGACCGAGCTGGATGAGATGAAAGCGGCTGTGCCGGTTTGCATGTCTCTCTTGCAGCAGTGCCCACAGAGTAGGACGGCGTGCTTCGATGGAAGCGAGTTCTGCATGGAGAAATTGTTTGCACCGCTATTGTCGACCAATCGCAACCCATACGATATTCGCATGCCTTGCACTCGAATGGATGATCCAACCAAGTGCTACGACATGTCGTACGTCTCCGAGTATTTGGACGCTCCTAATGTGCGCAAATCACTCGGTGTTGACTCGAAGCGCGTAGGTGCCTGGCAGGAATGCAACATGGAAGTAAACATGGCCTTTGGCATGACGGGTGACATGGTCAAGCCGTTCAACACATACGTGGCTGACCTGCTCAATGATGACCTGCGCGTGCTCATTTATGCTGGTGATGCCGATTTGATGTGTAACTGGTACGGTAATCAAGCGTGGACATTAGCTCTCGACTGGAAGGGCAAGGGTGGATTCAACGCAGCACCTGAGACTGCATACATTACGGCAGACGGAACGAATGCAGGTGTTGTGCAATCGTTCAACAACCAGTTCACGTTCCTGCGTGTGTTCGACTCTGGTCACATGGTGCCGCAGGACCAACCCGCAGTAGCGCTCGACATGCTCAACAAGTTCCTCAACAATCAAGCGATATAAAGGTGATAGGACGCTGCTTTGTGGCATCGATAATGTTGACCCATATAATGTCTCATTCTTCTTTGATCGGAACATTTGCAACGCAATGATACAACACTGCATGTTTGACATGCTGGTCTTATAGCGATATTAACTAAATTCAATTCAAATGAATGCAGTACTGAAGTAGTAACAAGGCCTTAATTTTTTTAAAGGCTGCTAAATTGACTGTGCAAAGTATAGTATACACAATTATACATAAAATTGATGAATAAAAGCGTTTTTACAATCTGAAATTATCTAACGATTTTAGCTACCTTTTATGCTATCTGCCAGTACCTGTTTATAGGCATTTCGCTCCACTTCTCTTCTTTCAAGAAATATGTACGTTTCAATCTCAAGCTCCATTCGACTCCTTCTCTAACGCTACTAATCATGCACATACAGGGCTGCAAAAGTCACGTTTAAAGTGACGCTCACATCGGACCCAAAGTTGCCGTATCGAGTGTGCGTGTTCTCTTTGTGTCATATTTCACTTTCTTCTTTGCTAAGAATTGATATTTTATTCTATATGGTAGGGTGAACGTACCAGAACAGGCGCCATTTACAGCGGTGCTTAAGTACGTTGCTGAGGAGGTACAAATATTGCAATAATTACTATCAAATTGATGTTAAAATCGAGTTTGTATTGATGGAGCTATGCTTGAATTGACATTTTTTTGCTACTTCCCCCCTCCCCCCAGTTCCACGTCCCGGCGGCTACTAGTGCTATCATCACTAATGGTACAAAGCTGTTGTGTTAAAAGGGGTACAGTGCAATGGACCAAACTGATGAGGTTGTTGTTGTTTTGGTTATTCGTTTTCTTTCTCTGTTGGCAGATGGTATTGGCATTAACCCATCCCAGAGCGCTGGCAATGTGTTTCTAAAGTACGGCTCGGAACTGCGCCTGATTCCACGTGATCGTGTCGGGGGCTGCTGAATGCATGAGATAGAAAAGTCAGAATAAGAAGAACGTCTACAATGACGTGTTATATACTTCCAGAGTCATTTGACTCGACAAGTCTTGTTGATGGTATCAAGCGGTTGTATTGGTATAACATTCTGCATTGACAAATGCTGCTCCTCGAATAATAACGTTCTATAGGCACGATATGTCATGGCTCGTGCAAAATACTCGACTTGCTGCCTCTGCAGTGTGATGTTTTTTCACAGACCTTTGTTGTAAAAGACGTGCGTGATAGGGTCCGCACTTGCCGAGTGCTGCTTGAACGTGCGCTGACGCACAGATTCCTGCAGTTCCGGCTCAAGCGAAGATACAGCCATGGAGCTACGCTGTGGAAACAGTGCGCAGCACAGTGGCGTCGAAAAAATAAGACACCCTCCGGTAAGTCCCACCATTGTCAAAGCATTCACCACCTTGTTGTTGCGAAAAAATGGACGTTGCTCCAACTTGTTCATAATAACAGGAGGGAAGAACATGCCAGGTGCAGCCATGAGAATACGGGAAGGCACGACCTGCGCCACGGCCTCAACTGCCGCACGCTTGCTCTTGCCCACCTTTTCTCCATCTGCAGTCTCTACTTCAATACCGCCCAACAGTTCACGCTGTCGCATCAACGGGATGTTGACGCAATTGGCAGCAGCCACAGCCACGAGGGGCACGAGACGACCGACGATGCCATTGCTGAGCTTGGGACGTTTAGCGACCCACCGGTTAAGACCCAATGCCGTGGCTACAGAGGCCGTACTAGCAGCCACGTAGGCCTGCAATAGCTGCTCTTGACTCACACCTGTACTGGCATTGCGGTTGGTATAATTGACGATCGAATTAAAGGTCTGGTTCATAAACTGCCAAAAGACGACAGCGGGTGTCGAGCGATAAAACGTCATCATGCAGCCAGTAATGACCATATTGCCCGGTACTTGGAAAGCCATACGACCAATGAGCATGTTCTTCTCACCCGTGTCGGGGTGAAAAGCGCTGTCTACGAGCTGCTTTGCACGCCAGATTTTGTCCACACTCATGTCTGGATGCTCACCGGCCTTGTATTCGTCCACGAGTTTCTTGGCAGCATCAAGGTCAGCGTCACTAGCCAATACATTGAACGGGTTTGTGGTTGCAAAAAAGTGCTGGACACGCCCAGCGTAAGTCCTCTGGTCCCAGCGGGGTGCGTCAAGGTTTACAAGGGAGGAGGACATGGCTACAATCGTTGAGATGCTGTGAAAGGCTATGTGAGCCACTCACTCCCTACCTGATGGACGATTGGCAAATCGCCGAGTACAATAAATAGATTCAGGATGAAATTGAATAGGGAGGGTATTTGATCTTACAATTTGTTTGTTGTTAGATAAGTGTATCAATGCAGCTTGGCACTATATTGTATTGTACGATTTTATTCGATATAAAGGGAGGCCGTTATGCGCGTTTTGACAACTACTAAGAAATTTACAGCAACGGGGCACAAGCACATGAGTGATGTGAGAAGTAAGAAACAAACGTGTTCGCTTCTTGGGACGAAGGTGACAAGAAATTCTAGATTTCTGCAGCAACCAATCATTAACGTCTCCGTTGTCGACAACCATCATTGATGGTCTGGTCGAATAGTCGAATTACGACCACTACTGTTGGTTTCTAGGATTTTTCTCGAGCACGAACAATGACTTACACTTCAGTTAGCATTCTGCTCGATCAACATCAAGTGTTCGAAAAAGATGACATTTCCAGACTTACGAATTCGCAAGTGGCCGTTTGGAGTAATAGGTAAATCTGAGGATGTACCCGCGCCAAAGGGAGAAGTGTGTGTCAAAATCAGCAAACTTGTAGGTTTGGCAGACGAAAACGCTGGCGAGTATTCGCTCGGTGGTCAAGCTGACACTCTGCCGGTTGATCCAGGACTATTTGTAGATTCTTTGGGAACGATTTCGCTTCCGCTTGTTGAGGAGCAAGTGAAGAAGCTGATTGCAAAATGTGAGAAGTCTCCTTACGGACACAATATGGAAACTAAGATAGATGAGAGCGTCCGGAAGAGTTGGCAGCTTCAACCGGATCAAGTCGAGATAAAAACCCTTTTTGGGAGAAAGGACTTGATAAATTGACTGAAATCAGAGCGAGTCGCTTGGGGTACAAAGGAATTCCACTGCAGTGCAAATTGTACAAGGTGCTTGTCTATGGAGAGGGTGGTCACTTTCGCATACACCGGGATACCGAGAAGGAGGACGGTATGATTGCGACGTTAGTCGTTCAGCCACCAAGCACACATGAAGGAGGTGACTTAGTTATTTATCGATATGGAGAAGTAGAGCACCGCCATGATTTTGGTAAGGACGATGGCACCGCGGCTCATTTACCCCACTTTGCCGTGCATTATGCTGATGCAGAGCATTCTTTAAAGAAAGTTTCGAAGGGATTCCGCTTGGCTATGGTGTACTCGATTTGTCTCCCGGCTGCGATGCATCACCTACGGAAAGACCCGACATGGACCGTCCCGGACGCCCTTAGCGTTGCTATCAGTCAAATGGAAAACGAATCATTCGCATTGTTCTTATCCCACCATTACACGAAGAAGAGCATTTGAGATTTTGGTTGCGCAGCTCTCAAAGGAATCGATAGGGCCAGATTCCAAGCCCTTGAAGTTGCAAACTCCCGAGTGTCCGACGATAAGAAACTTCGATTCTTCATTGTGAAAATGTTGAATTGATGTGGACGCATTCGATCATTTAACCAAAGGTCAAAAACAAGCGCTTCACTGGTATACCGATAGCGGGGAAGATCTAGGACGCTGGAAGAACCAAACGCGTGATGACATGTTCAACTTTCTGAATCCTGGAGGTGAAACGTGTTCCCAATTCTGGGATTCTTCTTACTACATCGGATTTTGTACTCACGGGTAATGAGGGCGCGTTTAGAAGCACAATATATTCCAGATTCGCAATTTTTGCGTGGCCTACTGTCCGACATGGGGAATATATACTAAACCTTATGTCTGCCGAGCTCGCAGTTGAAGACTTGGCATCTCGTAAACCAGTTAGCGCTGCAGAACTTCGCACATTTTTGGATGCAGCTAGTTCAAGGTATGATTGGGGTGTAGAAGATTGGTGGCGACGTAGTCTGAAGGTTTCCATCAGGTTTTGCCGGTCCTTTCTTAATCTACTAGTGGATGTTGGTGACCCAGAATTGACAAAGTTGTTCCTTAGCAAGTATTGTCCCAAGTTGGGGCAGCAACACGAAAACGCATCGCTGATCCCAGCTTTTATCAAGATTGCCAGCACTTTTTCATGGGATGACGTCGGTGAAGCATTATTGGATGTTCTGGGTACCCAGTCACCTCTCTCTAGTTACGGTGAAGACTCGGCTTTGGAAATGCTGTTACGAGTGGCTGCTGGTTTGAATGATGGAGTACCTCGGCAGGCTTTGCTCGCTAAAGCTTTGGAAAAAATCGAAAAAGAGAAAATGGTCTTGCATTCTTCCACAGCAGCTGAAGTTTTGTGGAAACATGCTATCTGCCTCGGTGACTCCCAATCGTCGATATGGTGATAAGTAAGCTTGAGAAAATGAAGCCAAATGAGCTTGGTCCATTCGGCAACGTATTGGTACAGCATGGTAGCGACTTCGATCCAACGAGCGAGCAGTTTGCCTTGCTTTCGAAGATTGCTGCAAAGCGGGTGGAGTGGCTGGAAGGCGATATTCATAAATTGGATAAGTTGAGCAAGACTTTCTCATGGGAGATGCCATACGCGGACAGCGAGTTCGAAGAGATTACGGAGTTTCTACGTGGTCCTCAGCAATCGATGATTTTGAGAGGGTAGACAAGTAGTGAAAAATTTAAAGGGTTTCGCAAGGCGAAGAAGTTTGCTGCTACTGTGAATTTGTATCGTTATTCTGACTCTTCATATGTTGCCAAAGCTATTGAAGGTGATGGTGCGTCAGTGACAATTACGAAAATACGCCAATGGTACGAGGATTCCCAGGCGAAGCTGGCTCGGTATACAGAAGAAATGGCAAATTTAAGCAAAGTCTACAGATCAGTGGACATGATTTCGACAAATAAACCACGTCTTGAGTTAGAAACTCGGATTGGTGGCTTGACTTAGTACGCATCAAGTGGCATGAAAGGATCGAAGCTACCAATTAACGTGTGACGAGGCGGACGCAACAATGATGAGGAAGAGATACCTGGGAGTCTCGCTAAGCACTCTACATTATTCAGTTTATTTTTCAAATCCACAAGTGCGGCTTGTTCAGTAGTCGCGCACCACGTTGACGAAATCATATTACGTGTTTTTCTTAAGCTTAGCGAGTCAACCACAAATTCAGCTCAGTCTGACACCAGGGAGACGATCAATTGGACCAAGAATTGGGCCATCATTAAAGAGTATCGACAAGAAATCACCAGCTGGTGTTGTGAAAACGACGTCCGTCAAACTCGAAAAAAGTGACAATAAACAGACTGTGAATGTTCCAGTCTCGTGTGGTGTTTGCACTTATCGTCACCTTGTTCATTCGACTTGTCTTCTAGGATAATAAAGTCCCACTACTCAACTCTAGCAACATCTATGAATACAGCGTTCTTCAAATTGGAATCCGAACACATACAGATTGACCAGAAACAACACCTGTTACATATTTTACAAGATACCGAGATGGTTCTGGTAGGGTATGCGTCTATATTGTGATTTCTACCGCGTCTGTCCATTGCGATATCACTCAAACGTACAGAATGTGTGCTCGTTAAAATAAGGATCCAAGCGCACCAGCATTCAATTAGCCCCGAACCAGCAGATGTTGCAACGGCAGCTAGCAGAACAGCAGATAACGGAGATGTCACCGGGGGGGCATACCCTGGAACTCGTTTATCTCCAGTAAACATACGCAAGTGCAAATCGCTTGAAGGCACTTTGTCAATCGGTTCGATCAAACAACAAAAAGAAAACTTTACTTAGCCAAGACCATGTCCTAGACTGGCATTACAAACTTTCTCAATATAAACAAGAGACTAGCGACGCTTTCACAACATCTTGCTCACTTGTATCGAGCTCAGAGATCCTTGTATCGAGCTCAGAGATCCTGGTCGTGAAAAAACTTGTTTATCATCTCAAACGAGACAGCAGGCTGATCCATAGGCACCATGTGGCCAGAGTTAAACACACGAATGAACGCCAAGTTTTCGAACGCACGAACTCGCCCTGCATCTGGGGCCTCAGATGTAATCAACGGGCGGTTTGGTGCGTTTCTAAAGTCTTCTTTTCCGCTCCAATCTAGCGCCATCACCCACGCCTGGTTGCCCACCCAATTGCACATGAGGTCCGCATCACCAGCGTAAATCAACACTCTCACGCCTGCATCCAGGAGAAGTTTGACATCCTCAGCCGAGGATAGCATCTCATCGAGTACAAAACCTGCACCCACCGTCCCATCGCACTCTTGCCATGGCTTGGACTTGTGTTCATCGACACCTAGCTCCGCCAAGATAGCCGGTGCATTCAAGTACTCGACAATGTGCTCAAAGTGGAAGCAGTTCATCACGTTGTCTTCAGCACATGGCTTCCGAATATCGTAGGGGTTTCGCCCCGACTGAAAATACGGTCCTTCCAGCGTTCCAAAGCAAAATTCCATTGCATCAGCACACATCTGCTGTTCTTTCTGGCACTTCAAAATGAGCTCGCGACACACCGGCTGCGCCTTACGCATATCTTCAATTGCCTTTTCATTTAACAGCGATATATTGTACGAGTTGAAGGCCATGTCGACACTGTGCAGGTATTGCTCTGCCGGGTCCGTCAGTCCGTTACCAACTGCGATACCTGTCAGATTAATATAAACTGCGTCCGGATTCAAGTGCCGAAGCATATTGGCTTTCAAAATGTAGCTGGCAGTAGCAGGTACATAGTGTCCACCGTAACTTTCGCCCGTTACGAAAAACTCCCGATCACTGAATTCCGGGTGTTTGTTTAGAAATTCCTGTAAGAACCAGTAAATGTTTTCCGCGACATTGAACTCACTCGAGTCGTAATCTACGCTAGAACCATAAGAGAATCCCACTCCTGTTGGTTGGTCCAGCCAAATAACATTGGCCTGATTATTCCAAGAGTATGGATTGATCTGAGTCGACAGATCCGGCTGGACATGGCAAGGACCGTTTTCAGCCAATAGTGCCATCATGCTGGAACAGCCGGGTCCTCCTGTAAGCCAGAGGACTAAAGGGTCCTTCTGTGGCTCACTCTGAGATTCGACAAACCAATAAAAATAATGGTCATTATTTGTGTTGGGTAATTTTATATACCCCGATTCATGGCTCGACATTCCACAGAAAAACTTGTCAAACTTGCTAGTGACGCCTTTCAGGTTTGATACCGATGAGTCCTTGTGGGCCACGAACGCAAACGTGAGCAATAAAATAAAACTAGTAGCCATAAAGATCACATAACGGCTTTTAACGCCATGAAACGTGAAAGAACGAAGCGAGGAGGGGCCATTCGCTACGAGCGGAGTCACCTCGGATGCATGTACCATCTTTTGAAAAATATTTCGAAAAATGACAATAAGAAATAAATCATTTGCTGGTATCAGATCTGAGCTGCGGGGTGGAATCAATATAAATTCGCCCTAGTCCTAGCATTTAATATCGCTTGATGTGCATTCTGTGGACATGTCGGACTGTTATAGTGCATATCTCTTAAGAGCTCGGACGGCAATATAAATGGTTCGTGTCAGTGCGATTACGACCGGATTGGATTCTAATGTCGTTACTATTGAGTGCCAAGTTGCACCGTGCGACAAATCACCAAACAATCAGGTCGAGATTCTTGAAGGCTTTGACATGACAACACTGATCTCCAGTTTTCTGCTTCGCACTGTCGCGTGGTATCGTAGGATACAAACCAGCGAACGGTTTGATCAGTAGTGACTATAACAGCTGTCGTCCATTCAAGCTAAACTTCCTCTAAGTACATTCGTCCGCTTCGTTACCTCCTTTACACACCAAGTAAGTAACATCATCAAGGATTTCGTGGCCGGCTGAAGAAAGGGAAAAGTCCGGTCTATCGATGCCTGCCTCGTTGTCAGGACATCACTGATACTTAGACTTGTATTCGCGTGGCTTCCAGCTCGTGGGGACGTCCTGGATGTTCGCGCGTGTGGAAACAGCTGGATGACGCGTTGTCCACGAGCGAGCGTCTGGAAGGGCATGTCTAGTCCTAAGAATTGAAAAATCCAAGGCCGACGTCATCAACTTCCATCGTTATTGGTTGGGTGCTCATCCAGACCCAGGGTTGCACTGATTCTCTGATTGTTTGAGTCGAAGGATGGTCATTGTGTGAGGACAACCACTTCCGATCTAAGGAGCCTTTGATGATTGCTTGATGGAGCTTAGCCTCCTGTACATTACCGTATACAAGTATGACAGGTGACGGCTGAAGGCATGTAGAACTTAGAACAGGAAGCATGGCAAAATGGAATCATAAGTAGGCAATATCAACTCAAAGAAGAAATTAGCTAGCTCAGAACTTCTTTCATGTTACTTAGTGGGCTGGTCCCGGGGCCAACATCAATAGCAGGCTGATCAGGAGAACGCAGGGGTTCAGTCGCCAAGGCAGGGTGCGCAGTAGACTATTGGTTGACAGGGACAGTAGACTCAGCAAGGAGTTGCTCAGAGGCCGCCTTGAATTCAACTGGGGCGTTAATTGGAACCTCAACTAGTGGTGCAGTGGAAGTCTCCGTTCGTACAGCGGGAGTGGGCTCGTTAGTCGTCTTTACCGTCACTACAGTGGATTTGGTGCTGTGGCCGCTGAGCGTGAGCCACAGCACGATGATGATGGATGCGATCACGACGACGGCGCCGGTGATACCAATGATGCGCTTGCGCTTCTGCGCGTCTGAGACGAATTGCTCGCCGCGTAACGGTGTCGTCTCCTTAGCCATTTTGTTGATATCGTATCCACCACGGAAGACAGAGGAGGTTTGCACGTCTGCAAATCCAGAAATGAGAGAATCCTGGCGAACCAATCTATCGGACAAAGGCGATAGATCAACGCAAGGGGGATTTGCCAGTAAGCTGATTTCTGAAACGACGAGCGTCTAAAAGGCACACATCATTTTGTCCCTGACAACTCATGGTCACCAATACCTTCGCTCAGTAGGGGATTCTTGCATGTTCCTCGAATGAGCTATAGAGATATCAGCATCTGATTTACGATATCTATATAAGTAGCTATAAGATCGCGAGGCGATACGTCAGAGCAACAAACACGAGTCGAAGTAGTCGCTGCAGATCGAGCAAGCCACTTCAACATTGACTACTCAGACGTCATCGTTTTGTGGACATGCATGTGTCAGTTGAAAAATACACGTTTGACGTGATCAGCCATCCATTCCGTGTAAAACTAGGCCCTGTAGGAATGCTGTTGTTAGCAACGACAGTGGAGACTAAGCAATGACACGGCTCATGCCATCGATCTCAAACTGTGCTCTTTGGCTGCCTGTTTGGTGCATCCGGACAAAGCCCATCATGTTGCGGGCTGATGCCGCGTACGTGTCGTGATCTTGGCTCTGACAAAAGAGCGCAGCGTCGATCCACGTGTTTGAGTTCGTTTGACAGGCGTCGCTGCAATCTCAGCTTTTCGCTGACGCTTCGTCTGTCATCAGCTTGATGTCGTACAACTTGCTATCATGTCTGACCAACCCTTACTCGACCATGTCGCTGTAGGGATGTAATGTCCTTCGTAGCCCTTTCCGGTGGAAAACAATGGACGACATTCGAGCTTTGGGTCTTGTCCAGAATCCCTGCAGGAACCAGTGATCCTGGACGTCCTACTGGACATTGTTATCGGCATCTACTAGACTACCACAAGTATCTGACATTCGCTTGGCCTTTAACTTTCGGAATCCAACTCGTTCATTTGCTTCAGTGCTGTCATGATACCCCAGGGCCGCCACTCAGCCAAAGAATGAGCGGGTCCGTCACTGGGGCTTTGCGAACTCGAAGAACCACTACAAGTACCGATCTTCTTGCCTATGGGCAGCTTGATGTACCCCTCTTTGTTGGCTGACCAAATGGCATCAATGACAGAAGGAATCAAAAGCGACATGTTTCTTGGGTCGCAAAGTTCGATGACAACTAACGCAGGCGTTCCAAAGGCCAGAATCTTGGCAATATGCGCCAATTTCAACCCCGAATGGAATCCCGAAGAGCTCTGGCATTCGAACTCCACCGTTCACATCGCCAACTGCTGCGTTGATTAAACTCTGACAGCAAGACACCGCAAAAAAGTGATCATATCACGTGCTCTAAAACGTAAAGCGTAGACTCTAGAGTGCTTCGTCACTAAAGAACCGACTGATGAGGTCTAGCGCGACGTCTGGCTGTCCTGGGCACGTGCGGTCAGCATCGAACACGCGTACAAACGTGAAACCTCAAAATGAACGCACCACAATTGCGATGATGTTACGTTCGGCGGGTAGCAATGGATTATGAGCAAAACACATGCGCTCTTCAGTGGCGTAGTAGTCTACTTTGCCTTGTCAGTTGAGATCCAGCGCCCATGCTCGATTGCCGATCCAGTTGCACATGAGGTTGGCGTCTCCAGCGTTAAAGAGCACTCGGAGCGCATGTCGGCAACGAGCATCTGGAAAGGCACTGGCCAGTCTCCAGAACTGATGAATGTAACTTCCGCCTCAACGCACTCTCCATGCCATGCAGGAGCGCGCATATCGACGTGCAAGTATCTACGCACCGCTACTGCTTAGAATTGGCATTGTGGTGTATTCAATACTATGGAGGCTCAACATCAGAGCCTTTGACACCTGAAAGCTCTTTTGTCTGTGTTGTGACCAACAGCAAGGCAGGCCATATCACACGGGCAAATAAAGTAGACAACCACTACTTTTCTGGTTCTACGAGTCGCCCAGCAACTCCGAAACGGATCCACTCATGTTGTGGCTAATTGGATCCTGGTTTATCCAGCAAACAGGTGTGGGCTATTCTTTTGGCGCAGCGTTGGACAAAGACTACAACGTAACGAACGTTGGAGAAATCTTTCGGTTTCACATGGATTCTTGGACAAACACCCGCAGTATCGGTCGAAAGTCTTTCATCACGGGTAAAAGTTGAGGCAGCCATTACGTTCCGGTCACAGAGCCTGGCAAAAAGGCGACAATTCACCACCACCCATTTTTTTATTTTTTAGGCAAATCGAGGGACTTTGAGTGGCAGCCGCTAAAGTTGTGGGTGAACAAGGTGAAGAGAGCGAAACACCGCACAAAACTGGAGCAATCGCTGATTGTTGTTTACTATTGAACTGGGGTTTGAGAGAGACCAACTGTAATTTGTACCATATTGTACGTAGATCGATTTTCCTGGAAGAAGTTACTTCATTCAGGGGTTGTGAAGTACGGTCCGACATCTGGTCGGATTAATCATCTAGTTAGATCGTCATTTCACTTTGTGCGTGTGCTAAATCATCGGTACACTAGAACCTAGTTTTATGCCTTGCATCGTGACATGTAGAAAAAGTAAGTAGACAAAGGGCCATATTGTGAACTTGTGATTTTAGGTGCCAGTGGCTAGATCAGTCTATAATGTAAACGTATCTTGTACGATTTCGTCGATCTGGTATTGGAAAGTAAATCTGAATTATACAGCGCAAAGCGAAGCTCCCTACTACTTAAGTATCTACTTCTCGTCGTTGCTTCGTCTGTCTCGGTAGCTTCGATCCTTACATGCCACTCGTTGAGTCAGCCTCACACTTCGATTTTCTTTTATTCAAGACGTGGTCTTTTTGTCGAAACTAGACCCCTTGATATCTTGTAGACATCGCTTAGATTTGCCACTTCTTCTGCATATCGCACCAAATTCGCCTGAGAGTCCTCGTACCACTTACGTGTTTTAGTAATTGTCACAACTGAGTCTTCAATTCCGTCTCTGGATGCTTTGGCAACGTATGAAGACTCAGGGATACGTTTCTGATTGTATATAGTAGCATATTTCTTCGCCGTGTGAAGGTCAGTAAAGTTTTCATCACTTCTCTCCCCTTTCAGAATCATCGATTGCTGAGGACCATGCAGAAACTCCGCAATCTCGTTGCACCCGGAGTACACCGCGTATGGCATCTCCCATGAGAAAGTCTTGCTCAACTTATCCAATTTATGAATATCGCCTTCCAGCCACTCCACCCGCTTTGCAGCAATCTTCGAAAGCAAGGTAAACTGCTCGCTCGTTGGATCGAAGTCGCTACCATGCTGTACCAATACGTTGCCGAATGGACCAAGCTCATTTGGCTTCATTTTCTCAAGCTTACTTATCACCATATCGAACGATTGGGAGTCACCGAGGCAGATAGCATGTCTCCACAAAACTTCAGCTGCTGTGGAAGAATGCAAGACCATTTTCTCTTTTTCGATTTCTTCCAAAGCTTTAGCGAGCAAAGCCTGCCGAGGTGCTCCATCATTCAAACCAGCAGCCACTCGTAACAGCATTTCCAAAGCCGAGTCTTCACCGTAACTAGAGAGAGGTGACTGGGTACCCAGAACATCCAACAATGCTTCACCGACGTCATCCCATGAAAAAGTGCTGGCAATCTTGATAAAAGCTGGGATCAGCGATGCGTTTTCGTGTTGCTGCCCCAACTTGGGACAATACTTGCTAAGGAACAACTTTGCCAATTCTGGATCTCCAACATCCACTAGTAGATTAAGAAAGGACCGGCAAAATCTGATGGAAACCTTCAGACTACGTCGCCACCAATCTTCTACACCCCAATCATACCTTGAACTAGCCGCATCCAAAAATGTGCGAAGTTCTGCAGCGCTAACTGGTTTACGAGATGCCAAATCTTTGACAGCGAGCTCAGCTGACGTAAAGTTTAGCATATTTTCCCCATGTCGGACAGTAGGCCACGCAAAAACTGCAAATCTCGAATATTTTGTGCTGTCGATCGGGCCCTCGTTTCCCGTGTAAACAGTTTCCCATCTAGTAATGTAAGAATTCCAAAGCTCGAAAAACGTTTCACCTCCAGGATTCAAAAAGTTAAATTTAAGCATTTTACCACCCTCTTCGTCCTTCCAACGTCCTAGATCTTCCCCGCTAGCGGTGTACCAGTGAAATGCTTGTTTTCGGCCCGAGCATGAGAAGCCATATGGACATATATCAACTCTTAACGACATTTTCACAATGAAGAATCGAAGTTTCTTATCGTCGGACACTCGGGAATTTGCAACTTCAAGGGCTTGGAATCTGGCCCTATCGACTCCTTTGAGAGCTGCGCAACCGAAATCTCCAATGCTTTTCTTCGTGTAATGGTGGGATAAGAACAATGCGAATGATTCGTTTTCCATTTGACTGATAGCAACGCTTAGGGCGTCCGGGACGGTCCATGTCGGGTCTTTCCGTAGGTGATGCATCGTTGCCGGGAGACAAATCGAGTACACCATAGCCAAGCGAAATCCCTTCGAAACTTTCTTTAAAGAATGCTCTGCATCAGCATAATGCACGGCAAAGTGAGGCAAATAAGGCGCAGTGCCATCGGCTTTGCCAAAATCGTGGCGGTGCTCTTCTTTATAATGATACACAACTAAGTCACCTCCTTCATGTGTGCTAGGTGGCTGAACGACCAACGTTGCAATCATACCGTCCTCCTTCTCGGTATCCCGGTGTATGCAAAAGTGACCACCCTCTTCATATACAAGCACCTTGTACAATTTGCACTGCAGTGGAATTCCTTTGTACCCCAAGCGATTCGCTATTATTTCAGTCAACTTATCAATTCCTTTCTCCCAAGAACGGTTTTTTATCTCGACTTGATCCGGTTCAAGCTGCCAACTCTTCCGGACGCACTCATTAATCCTAGTTTCCATATTGTGTCCGTACGGAGACTTCTCATATTTTGCAATCAGCTTCTTCGCTTGTTCCTCAACAAGCGGAAGCG